AGTTTATGAGCCCGGAAACTAATCTCTTTACGTCAATGACGATCATTCCTTGCTGTAGGCTTTTATTTGGCTATTAATAGGAACTGTTTAACTTAAGAGTTATCCATGTCGCAAGCTATTCTAATGGGAATTAGCTCGCATGAATGAAGAAAAAACTAATTAATTATACTGTAAAACTTTCGCGACTGTGTTTTAGAATAGATAGATACTGTAGTTTGTACCATTAGCATCTAAATATTGATGATCACATATAGCTGCTAGAATGAGAATCTTTCATTAAATTACTACGATAATGATGTGGTTTCTTAATCCCCTCGACAACAACAAAAAAGTTACAACTTAATCAGGACAAGCTCCGGTTAATCTTACGATTGGATAAGCTTAACTGTACTTGCTAGGTGGTAAAATTAATGATTGTTCGTAGCCGATGGCTGATTGTTAGTGAAAACTGGTTGTCAAGCTTTAAATGATGAGAATGAATTGGAAAGCAAATATAATAAATGGAAGTTTTTATTGATCAGCATATTTAGCAATAGTCGCATTGTTGTAAAGATTGTTTGATTATATATGATTTCTATTTAAATTTTTTTGAGAAAGGGATTTAGTATTATTCCCAAAGGAATAAAGCACTGTCAGTTTAGTTCTGATGTTGCCTTGATCTTTATATTTTAGTATAAAAGAAATGTTGTCGCGAATAATCATTAAAATATGTGTATCGTTACACTAATACACCAAGTCCGAACCGTAGCGTAATGTCCTACCTGATAATTCGTTGTAATTATAATAGATAAGTTATAAGTTCTAATAATCATAGATTGCAAATTATCAACATGTTATGTTATCAAAATGCCTGTCTGCGTGGTGTCTAGGAATTGAGTCAACTTCAATATCTGTATAGTACGACGTTGCTAAGTTCCAAACGATCCGTTACTATTACAGCTAGAATCTTATAAAAAGGAAAGTCTTAAGACCTCTTCGGCATTACTTTACACGATCATTCAATGACTGTGCTAATGTATGTACAGTACAACCTCCAATAAAGTCAATTAATTAGTAGCAAAGCGCGAGCTGCATTTTATGAAAAGTATCACTAGTCAACCTCAAGATCCACCACAAGGGGGAGGGGGTACCTTGTTATTGTACAAGGTATAGCTACATGAATTACTATCAATTAGGTGGCCAACTACATTATGATCATAATTTTATATCTAATTTAATTTAATCTAATTCAAGGGGGCACCCTGTTATTCTACTGTACAAGGTATAGTTACATGAATTACTATCAATTAGGTGGGCTGGTATTATGATCTTAATTTTATATCTAATTTAATAGTAAATTTAAACTAATTCAAAGGGGGGTACCCTGTTATTCTACTATACTGTACAAGGTATAGCTATATGAATTACTATCAATTAGGTGGGCTGGTATTATGATCATAATTTTATATCTAATTTAATAGTAAATTTTAACTAATTCAAAGGGGGTGCCCTGTGATTCTACTGTACAAGCTATAGCTACATGAATTACTCTCCATTAGTTGGCCTGGTATTATGATCATAATTTTATATCTAATTTGACCTATTTTATATCTATCAGTTGAGCAGTTGCAAAGGGAAAAGGTGGTAAAAGTGATTTCCATCGAAGCTGTAGAAAGTGCAAATGATTTTGACTTCCACTCTCTTGCATCTAGCGATGTACACTTACATTTAGCTGTCCCCGAATTTTGACTAAATGTTTTAACCATTTAGTTAAAATCTTGAAGAGTCTACAGTACTGTACAGTACATCGCTAGCAGACTACAGTGTACAGTACAGTACTGTACAGTACAGCACATCGCTAGCAGACTACAGTACAGTGTACAGTACAGTACAGTACAGCACAGTCCAGTACATAGTACTGGACTTATAGAAGGCACTGTAGGCTGTCTACTGGATTCATTATACTGTACAGTACTGTATTAGACAGTGTGCAGTACACTAATGTACACTCAGTGTACAGTACTGTACAGTACGGTACAGTACACTAACACAGTCATTCTCTCGCTGCTCCGCTGATCGAGTCATCGTGGCGCTCTAAATCTTGCTTTCATGATGTGCTCGCTCGATTTGCCTTTATAATATTATCCAACATCAAACTGTTATTGGATTCACGCTTGTGCTGTGTAAGTGATCTTGAATCGGATAGATACTCTACGTGCAATCATGAATTCACACTCATTTGATAGTAGTACTAGCTGTAGTCATCGTGTCATGACCGAGTGAGTCTTTTACTATTACTATAATCTGCACTATTCTTACAGCCTGTGCCACATTACTATGCTAGGGTATTACTGGTGTTGCCTCTCTTATTATAGATAAATATTATTATCAACATTTTAATATCGTATTATCGCTGTTGTTATTATTATTATTTTAGTGCTGGTGCTTTCAATTTCAAATGACGAAACGTGCTCAAATCTTATCCTATCGTCTAGTTGTAGCCTTGACTGTTTACTATTGAACGTTATTGACACTTTAAATTGCGTTACCCTCACCCTCGAAAGATCTCACATTGGCCATTCATTGCATGGGTTTGCGTTTCTATCCAGCGCGACAGAGGTCTACATCGTACTTTTTTTAATAGGCCCATACGGTTTGCCATGACTAACTATCTAACGCGATTGCTGAAGAAAATGCAGCCTGTCAGATCCATTTGCAGGTTAGCAAGTTTTATTGCTGTTCCAGTTTGTAGCGCTAGTTGAACATGCTTGTGGGATCCTACAACGCGGACTGGCCGCATTTTGCTACAATAAAGTTGCACCGGCTGCCGTAGCACTGTATCATAAAGCGAAATCAAGACACGTTTTTGTCTACATCATCAACCATGATGGCTATAACAGGAGACTATTGAACGAAGTGATACTATCTCACACTAAATTAAATCATGCTATACCGTACTTAATTCTAATAATTAATCTGCGTAGTGTTGAATCACAATCTTTGTGTCCTTACCATGACATAATTTCTCAAGGAGCTTCTGAAAAGGCATGAGTTAAATCTAAGTGAACATAGAGCAAGCATGTCTTAAAGATTAATTAATTTTTGGTATGGTTATCGAACTGGCAACTGTAGTAAAGTAACATGTAATCAATTAACCAATGTAAAAAGTCCTACTCTTTTTATGAGTACAAATAAAAATTTATGATTGCATGATGTAATTTGGTATGTGGATGCAGTTACTGGTGGGAAGATCCATTTGTTACCATATGAACAATGATAAATAACTACTAATTTTTATCTAATTTTATCGTGTCTTATTCTCTTGATTGTTATTATGTAATAACACTAACATCTCGTATTTGTGCTCTAGTCATAGCGCCAATATTACGCAATTAACTCATACTCACACTAATACCGCAAAAATTATTAGTGTAGAAGGTAACATTGGAGCTGGAAAGACTACGTTAGCGAATAATATTGGTGAAATTCTTGGATACAAAGTATTCTACGAACCAGTTAACCAAAATCCTTACCTTGCAAAATTTTACGAAAGTCCAAAGGATTATGCATTCAAGCTGCAATTGTGGATCTATCGACAACGCTTCTTGATTTATTGCAATGCACTACAACATTATTTATCCACAGGTATAAAATAGCTTAGATAATCCTTTTTAATAAATAATTCATTTAACCATGCTAACGTATCTCCAAACACTACTAGCTAATTCGTTTGCTATAACGTTGCAGGACAAGGGGTTATCTTAGATCGATCTGTTTACAGCGATAGAGTCTTTGCCAAAACTGGAAATAACGATGGATTTATATCATCAACCGAGTATGATCAATATGAATTGTTACGCCAACAGTTATTAAATAGAGTTATTCCTCCCCATTTATTGGTCTATCTTCATGTTTCACCGACTGATTGTCTTGAAAGAGTGCGAAAGCGTGGTCGAGTAAGTACTTAGCGTTAGTGCAGGATCTACTGTACTGTTGTACTCATTATAAATAAATACATGTAAACTGCATTTTTATAATACTACATAGTAAACTAGAGAATTGACGATTAATTACATCTTATTATCAATTGATAAATTATAGATATACGAGAAAAGTATATCCACCTCTTACCTGCAGAAATTGGAAGATGAATTCGATAATTTTGTAGAAGAAATGAGGTTTTTCGCTCATATTTTCTTTTATTATTGCAATAATTTAGTGTTCAAATTTAAAGTGAGTCAATGTCATTCCTTGAATATACTAAATATCTAATTAGCAATGTTCTTGTAGACGCAGTGGCGTTAGCGTTTACTGGTACGATTGGTCAAAATATGGAAATATCGAAAAGGTACTGCATCAATTTCTTAAGTCAGTGTTTGTGGTCGTGCTCTAATGAGGTAACTTAAACACTAAGAATGTTTCGTGTACCAATTTTTTTACAGATTATTGCCGACATAAATCGGCAAGATTCGACCGTTGAAAATTCTAAAAATATAAATGAAGTCAAGAAGTTTATCTGTAATCGGGAAGAAATATTATCAATACTACATCCATATGAAATTGCTAATCTAAATGTAAGTTAAGTTTCAATATTATAATTCATTGTCGATAATAATATTGACTGTATAGAAATTGAGCAGTCTTGAACTATTTTATAAGATCGAAAGTCCTGCTTACGTAAATGTAGGTTACTCAGTTTCATACACCCTCCAGTATTAGCACGTCTTACAGCGACGTATACATTCCCACTCAGATAACCAATAACACTGTCATTCTCACTGCCCAAAGCAATATGTACTATAATTAGTGAATTCTTGTCTATTTACAATCTTAAGTACTTATCGATTGGAATTATTTTACTATTTGTTAAAGGATGAAATTGATCAAAAAGCTGAATTAGATTATTGGTTACGGGAGCAGATACAATAATGTTATCGTATATAATATACGATACTACACTCCTATCTGTACGTATTTCAGACAGAATAGAGTACAACATTCATAATACTGTTAATGTTGAATATTTATTTCAGAGCTAACTTATGTAATATTTATATGGATAAACGTATCTTAAAGTAGCGATCCTATCTGTAATTTTTGAGATGATCCGTTATGTAAGAAGTTTTTCTTATACAGTTGTATGCTGTCATCAAATTTAGAACTCAGTAGTTTTATGAACATTAATTACCACTTAATCCAAGGTGTAACGCTGCTTATATTTTTAACAAATTGTAAATTATCGATTTCGATTTAAAAGTATATACGTTATTTATACGCTCACTAAACACACGTTAGATGCGAAGAAAAATTTTTACAATGCAGAATGTACGTATATCAAAGATTTATATTTGCTTTAAATTTATCCATAATTTCGTTACAAGTTTGAAACTTTATCTTTAATAATGATACAGCGTGATAATATTAAGTTATCCCCTGGAGTATGAGCGTGATGTAAGGGCACTTTAAACTGCGATTGACTAGTGATAGACTGTAATGGCTAAAATTTTTGAATACAGTGTTTAACGTTATTACAATACAGTTATACGGCAGTTAACTTTATCATTACTAGGGGTCGAAACGTACAAAAAATCCCTAATATTATATTTAAGATTATTTTTATCATTACTCGTGCTATGCGAGTATAATGGTAATATATAGTTTTACTAGATAATCACAAGAACTTTTTTATTATTACATGTTTTATCAGTATTATTGATAAGTGGTGTAGAACAAAGTTTTTTAATGCCTGATATCATAGATATTTTTTCATAGATTGATCAATCTTAACCATTATTAAAAAGAACAAGATCAGTATTATCAACCATTGTTGTAAGATATCGACAGCACGTACGGTTGTTTCTCAAAAGTTACATTTAATAATAAAAATCGTAAATGGAATATTGATAATGGACCATTAAACATTGACACAAAAATGCTGCATTGCCAGTATACGAGGCAACACATGATAATATCACTCGACAAAGATGGACAATTTTACTTATCAGAGGATACAATAATTATTAGTGTAATATTCAATAATACACGTTGTTAACCTTGCTGTTAGTGGCAACATAAATTATTTCTTAAGTTGGACTTTACAATAATTTACTATTGAACTGGAAGCTAAATTACAATGGCTTAAAATATTACCATTATACCATAGCGTTAAATCAATTAGTTTCTCCTTTGATAAGTGCTATCCGACAAACATAGGTATCATACAAAGAGATTGCTAGGCAATTTTTTAGCAGTAGACTGTCAAATTAGTATAGTAGTCTACGCAATTCCAACAATGCTGATAGGATTTAGTTAATTTGTACATACAGTAGTTTAACAAGTTATCATTTAAAATAGTACAATTTACATTTTACAGGTGGTGTGTACAGTACAGTATGTATCATTATCATTGAAACTAGAAGATTTTTGCACGCACCTATTAGTCAGCTGATTGCAGTCAATGTTACTTCTCATTTCTAGTAAACCTTTAATCCAGTCTCTGCTAGCTGTAGTAAGTGCTTCTGTTTCTGATAAGTACCTATACCATGTTCAGCAAGTCGTAGGTTAACTTCTGCAACAGTGAATCGATGTTTCTTTGGTAATTCAGGGTGATAAAAATGAAATCTTCTATTATTAGCAACCGTTCTGATACCAGCATGTTGTGCTAATATACCTACATAAACATCATCCAACATGGGTATCTTTTTGACAGCGCTGACATAAGCCATTAGAGAGTGCAATGTTTTAATTGGCATCACATAGGCAAAGCCAGAGCAGTAAGGCGGGAAGCGAAGATAAGGGTAATGATCGTAGGATACAAAATATTTGCCTTTTTTACTGCGGCAAGGAATACGATTATTAAGTGCTACACGGCCAATCATAGTATTCTGATACAACGGATTTATCTTTACCAATTCCAGGTACTCCAAAAATCGATAACTATTAATGAAGATGTCATCGTCGCCTTTAAAGTAGAAATCGCTATTTGAACAATAAACACGAATCCAATCCATGCCAGCTAATGTTTTCTCAGTCAGATTTTTATAGCTTTCATAAATGTCTACAACGATTATATCGTTATACATTAGTGCCTCTTCTATGACAGCATTGTCGGTTTTTTCATTGTTGGCTTTACCAACAATGAATAAAACACGCCACTTGTGCTTGATTTTGCTTGGGGGTAAAATATTACTGGTATTGCCCCAAGTTTGACGAATTGCATTGCGTCGTACAATATGACCAGGAGCGCTATTAATTAAAATGGTTAAAAATGTCGAATCTAAACAAGGCGTTGTACTAAAATTCCTTTGTAAGTAGCGATCAATAATACTCATTTCTTCTGTTCTGCTGAAAATATTGAAAATGGAAAACCTGGATGGTTTTTTGTTTTTCGATTCCTTACTTCGAGCATGCTGGCTAGAAAGCCAATGGACGTTAGTATAATAAAAAAAGAAGCCATTCAAAAGCGTAATTATTATAATCCAATTACACCAAGAACGTATTCTCGGCATGCTGTAGTCTGAAATAGGATTGGTCTCTGCAATCGGTCTTAATTGATACGGCAAAAATAGGAATAATGGAATTACCCTTTAACATTTCATGATGATGATCAGCGTTGTTTTACACTTACAATTCATGACCTACATAGAAATGAAAAAATTTCTTTTAAGTTACAGCTTTTCCATTACGTATAAAAGATTTTATGAGACTACTATTTTAAGTCTTTGTCGTGTCTATTTGGGCTATAATTTTATACATATAATAGCATCAATGATCACTCTAGAGGAAGTGAATTAACAATAAAGTAGAGAAGAATTAGTCGAACAGATCGACGCTGTGACGACGATCAGTCTTGACTTTTTTAATTCGATAAAACAGTTTTTACATCTTTTTGTCCAATTTTTAAATATTATTTGAATAATTAATGACATTATTTCTTGTAGTGTTAATGTAATACTAAGTCAAAAATTGAATACTGTCTAGTTTGCAATATCCAGTGCAGTTATCAGTAATTCTTTATCGATGAAACTAGACTGCTCGATATCACTGGTATACTAAGACTGTCATCAACCACTTTCAGAAGGTATACAATATTTGCAATAGCAACATCAAAATTAAATATCAAGGTTAATGATTGTTATAAAATCTTTCAATCAATCTTCTTCTTTGGAGATTTTGAATACCTCTGTTTAAGTCATAAATTTGTAAAAGCAAACTCATTGGCAGACAGTAAGGCTGTGAGAAAACATCACGGACAATCACAGATCGTTGGTGGACTTTCAGTTCAAAATTGAAGATAATTGCATATAATATATCGCGCTGTTGTCTGTATTGAGTCTTCAAAGTACCGTATGCATTCTAAACAAGGTTATTCACAAATTAATTATTTAGGCCGATGTCGCATTACTGTAGGTAAAGCACTGTTAAAAAAACGCCAACTATAGCTATTGATTTGAAAGGTATTGTCTAGACTTGCGATATTGGAAGAAGAGTTTTCGCAATCTGGCAGTTTCAGAATGATTACTTCCATTATAATTATTACTAAATCAATAGAAACAGTAGACGATATCATTCTAAGTCAGTAGAGTACAGTAGTAATGAATAATATTTCATTTTATTGTTCTGTAGAACAAGTCGTTCCGGTCTAATTTTCTGACAAGGAATAAAAATGCAGTTACCACAGTCTGTACAGTAGCGTAATGACAAGAAATGAGAACAAGTCGTTTTTCATTTTGTTTTAAATTATAACTAGTAGGTAAGCCGCTCGCTACGCTCAGATCGGTGTTGTTCATCCAGTTTCTTTATTGGTATGATATACTGTACGACGTATACTGCACGCTTATAATTAATTTATAATTATACGTTCAAGCTAGTAATGCTCTAAGATTTCAATAGCTTGATTGTTATAAAATTGGGTGATATTCGTTTAGATAGGTCGATCATTTTGTTTTTCTATAGAGTAGTAGTACTTCAACTATGAATTGATCAAGTTGTAAAGCTGTTACTATTATATGAGTAGAATTATTATACCAATAAGGAAATTTCAATTTTAAATTTACTTTGGCGCATAAAGTAGATCAAGCAAAGAGTAGTCCTGTAGAGTACTGTACCTAAACTCGTCTGCAGGAGTGGAGAGACCTCATTGCTAAAATTACTTGCAACTTCTGACATCTACTGTAATCTTCTGAGTTTGCCTACAGTTACAATTATTGTAATTTCGACTTCTATCACAGTTTAGATCATTGCATGAAGCAAATGTAGATATTGCATTCTAGAAATCTTACTCTCTCCGTAAAAATTAATTGGAATGATTGGTTTCGACCATTTTACACTTTCTGACAGTAGAGGTGTACGTATATCCTTGATGGCCTTTTGTCATCCATTCACTCAGTACAGTGTTATCAGCAGACTGCAGTATACTCACGTTTTCCAGCCAAGGTCAATTTTTCGATAGCTATTCCAATGGAGGAAGCGTTAATTGCGAAGATACTGTAATTAGCCAGGATAAATTCACATTTCCTATTTCCTTAATCACTTCGAGTTGGCTGTTATCCTTATTTTTATCATAGCGACAAGTCGCTTGTTCCAGTTAAGAGGAGCAAAAGTGGTGACGTAGCCTCCACGATTAAGATTAGATTAACTAACTGTACAGTAGATAGATTTACTGTAATCATCAATTTCAAATGGTATCTGATTGGCTGCATCGTATCAATACGAGGGGACTCTTTTCCATACGATTTTGCAATCAAAAGTCTGAGTAACTGCAGCACAGAGGGACGGAAACCGCCATTGATGGGCAAAAGACGAGACTAATTGCGTTAACAATTAATTACTAGTATTATTATGATTATGATTATTCTTGGCAGTTATTTTATTGGAAGAATTTGCAAATTGCAACCGTATACCGATCGCACTGTACGCTACTGGATACGGTAAACAACAGTAATAGAATGATCGAAAGATATTTCCGCTACCGCATAGTGTTGCCTTAAATTCTATTTTTAATTTGTAAGGTGTTATATGAAGTCTTTAATGACAATATTCATAATAATTCCTATAACTTTAAAAGGATACTTTTATATTATGTGCGCCAGGAGTTTCTGACGAGACTATAAAAGGCTGGTGCCTGAAGATTCCTTTCTAGTTAGTTAGTCGGTTAGATAGTCAACTAGTTTTTCAATTGATATTTAATTGTTAAGACTGTAATCTTGGGTGCCGAGATTTTTTCAGTATTAAATGATAGTAAATCTCTGACTTTCTCGTCTACACTATCTGTGACGCTATAATTATACCATAGTATTCGGTCGTTGGAACTGAATTATTTGGTGATATAGCTAATCTCGCCTCTTTAAGTTAGTAAGTGGCGTTCTCCGCAAGGATTGGCGTGTGTAGACTACTTTGTCACTAGTGGTGTGTGACAATTTTTAAGGACTTTCAATTTGGCTCAAATTTCATGCAGACAGCTCAGTATAACCTTGAGCAATTTGACTCTTGATGTTTTGATTACTTACTTACTTTTTATTGCAGTATTGAGTAATTTTATTTCTTTCAAATTTCTAATACCAACTATCAGTCACTGGTACCACCATTACGGTGGTCGGTCTAACTAGAGACCCTCTACTGTAGGTCTAAACCATGTTCCAAGTCACGTCGTAATATTGGCCTGATCAGAGAAATGTCCGTGACAGGAAATTCTCCTCGGATTGACGGACTTTTCTTATCAGATGCTTCTTTGTATTACTGTAGAAACATGAACCAAATAACAGTGGTACAGAGGGCGGTGCACTGCAGTAGCGTACGTAAGTTGATCAGTGTTGTTCTACAGCAACTGTTGATAGGACTAGCTTGAATAATTTTATTCTATACGGTATGTATAATTTGATCGGCCAATTTAGGAAGTATGATGAGCAGACAGTTAGGCTAGTTTTGATACAAATTTGCCAATTTGAATTACAATTATTTCATCTACGATATACTATACAGTACAGCGTATTAAGTCAGTATTTGACAGACTTCTACTATGGACTACCAAATCGACGCAGATTTTGGTAGTCCATGATTGCAGGATGACGAGCTTTTTGGGAGAAATTGGAGAGGGGGACATTCTTACTTGAAAGGGCTATCCAATTGCACTGACTATTAACAATCAATAACTGCCGTGAGATTGTTAGTATTTCTTGCACTGACTACTAGTAACTGTTTCGTTGATCCAATTGTTACAAATGTCTGATCTATCTTGCAACAGTACGTAGAAAGATTCTAGCCTATAAAAGAGTATCCAAACATCCATCATGCGGGCATACGAGCTTTTCATGGCCAACAAGGTGTTGGCGATATCGTAAGCTTCCATCGAATCTCGTTAAAAACAACAACTGATAAATTTCGAACAATTTATCTTCATGATAGACTTCCTTTACTATCCTATTTCAGACATAAACCATTTCTGAAACGATCAGTTAGATATAGTTGCAGTATCAACGGAATTGTAAAAATATGATGATATATGTAATGTACATTTATACAGAAATAGGCACTTAAAATTTTTAGCGCAGTTTAACAACGTGATAATAAAATAAATTTTTAAATTGTTGCTTAATCACCATTTCCTATAGGAGTATATGATTAAAGCTTACCGTTCTGATAACTTACAAATTGACACACAATGATAAAAGATGTTTCTGATTAAATAATATTAGTCAAGTACAGCCATTCCTAAGGTTAGTAACTTGTACCTTATAACAGAATAGATAATATAGCAGTACGAGGTAGGCAGTTTTACCTATGTCATGGAACGCAAATAATTTCAAAATTTCGAACTTCATTGAAAGAGCTAATATCGCACGATTGATACAGTATACCTAACTGTATCTAACGCGTAAACTGGTTGCATTAAATTTAGTTCTAAGTGATGATATTCCATTATATTACAGAAAAACTATAACTTACCGTCAAAAATTAAGATATAATATTGTAATATCATATCTATATCAAAACGAACAATCCACACTATCTACTTTGTAGCATCTTGCTATAATAGATACGATACTAAAGCATCGATAATAGATAGGGTAGAGATAAATAATCCTATTGTCGTTGTGAATAGTATTAAGCGATCGTCCATTATCAATATGTAACGGGCGTTAACTATAATACAGGGCATAATTTAGCAAATGCCGTTCTCTTGCAACTAATCACAGCCTTTACACATCAAGAAAGTTGTAATAGCAAATTAACTTGGTTCCATCATTAGAAAGCAATTTCCATCTTGATATCTACAATGAGAGTGCGATGAAGTTCATTTCTATCAAGATTAATCATGTGTAAATATCTAGCCCTTTTCTTGCCATATCCAATAATTTGCGATGTTTTTCATAGCTGATTATGCCATGCTCTGCAATACGTAGATTTATTTCTGGAATACGAAAGATATGATTTTTAGGTATAGCAGGATGATAAAAGTGAAAACGTCGATTATTGGCGTGTGGATGTATTCCAGCAGCTTCGGCTAACAATCCTACGTATACGTCGTCAATCGATTTTAATAGTTTGACTTTCTTTACTTGTTTAGCCAATAAATCCACACAATCGTTCGTCATCATGTAAGCAAATCCAGAACAATATGGGGGAAATCTCCTGCGAGGATAGTCCTTATATGATACATAGTATTTGTGTTTCTTGACTCGACAAGGAATACGGTTAGATGTATGCACACGGCCCACTAAATATTTTTTCTTATGTTGGGAATCAAGTGAGTCTGCATACTGTATCAATCGATATGTATTTACAAATACATCGTCATCGCCTTTATAGAAAAATTTCGCCTTCGGACAGAATTTACGTTGCCAAAGCATTCCTAGCAGTGTTTTATCTGTTAAATTTTGAATACTGTCCTTAAAATCTGCCAATACTAGATCACCAAACACCCGCGATTCTTTTTCAACAGATTGGTCTAAACTAGTCTGGCCAGACTTGCCAATGATGAAGACGACTCTTATCCTATGTTTAGTCTTACTAGTCATACTAATTTCCGTGGTATTACCCCATGTTCGTCGAATATATTGGCGTCTTTTACTATTGTAAGGATGGCTATTAATTACCATAGTTAAATAAACGTTATCATCACAAGGTGCAGCACTTGGTCTCGTTGACAAGTAGTTTACTTGAAAAGATGACATATTTGTGAGAATAGTTATATTTTTCACGGTAGAGCTATCAAAGGCCAATGGATTAGCTTGTGGGCGTTTATTATTTTTAGTAGTAGTCTTTCTATCGTCTATTTTACTGTGTTTTAAAGGTGTAGCTGGGATATTTTTACTATGCTTGATCAATCCCTTAAGAGTGGCTTTAGGTGTAATTGCTTTATCGACATCTTTAAGTATAATCTCGCGATTAATTTCTCGACCAGATTCTCCATCCTTGTTAGCACGATTAAGCTTTAATCGGCCATGAATGACTACTTTTTCTATTGATTTGTCGAGTGCTTTTGTCTTAGTTGTGACCAGACTTATAACATTTGTCGGTGAACGACTACTACCAAACAGCACGGACAGAAATAACAGGTTTAGCACCAACGATAGTAGTAACCAAAATTTCTCGTTGTAAAGGATCATCTTGTTGTTACTAATAGCAAAATTTTCGTAGCTCTGTAAAATGTATTAAGCATTGAATGAGTAAACTAACACATAGCAATAAGCCCAATGTCTTATCTAAAGAAACATATAACACACATGGTTAGCGCTGTAGAAGAAGTCTAAAATTTATCGGGCTACACATACCGTACAGTATAGATATCTATTCTTTCAAAATAGAGATGTATTCAATCTACAGTACTCGTATATTGAACAAAAATCATTGAAACTAGAACCAATAGCCTGTAAAATGAATCAAAACCATCCTAAAACAAGTAATCAAATGCTTAGCATGTTGCATTGCTTGGACAGATCAATTTTCTATCTGCAATAATGTAGTAAGCGATTACCGACTAATAAGCCCAACAAGTCATCGTTCTTAGCCATCTTATGACCATGGATAACTAAATGATTGTTGCGTGTGTAATCGAACTTGATTCAAGTAATTAATTAACCTGTAGTACTGATCAGAAGTATATACTGCCATTATATATTCGTGATATTGTAGTGTTACTACTGTACGCCAATAAAGCACTGCATCATAATCTGCTGTAAAACATTACTTTCTTAAATATATAACAAAGTTACCACAATAATGGATTGTACGGGTGAAAAACAATGCAAACAAGACGTTGTAAGTGATTTTAACGTATTGATCTAGAGAAAGCATCACGTCGCCATATCATAACAATGAGAACCTTTGTATTATATTTTTAATGATTTATTGAATTTCGCCTAACCAGATAATCAGATACCACATACGAAAGACCAATATCGAATCTGTATCTTATTACTGAAGCAGTCTTCGGGTTTACCGCTGTATAAACAATATACAGTAAACTAGATAAACTTAAACTATCTTAATCAATTGGTATCCAAGTCGATGAATGGCGGATACTAAAAGTTTTCATTTCTACGTTAAAGTAGCAAGACGATCAGATGGAGTTTTGATCACTACTGTAGGTACTGCATATTCACATCGATGACATTAAATATTGAAATATATACGTTTTGAAGAGCATTTTTGTGACGAAACTTGATGCTGGATTTGGAGTTGACTTTGACACTGACGCACTTTGATGTGGACAAGTTTAATGTTCAATGCTTTACTTTTTTAGAGATTTAATACAAGATCTCTAGTCTACTATTTTACGACTCTGACTACAGTTACTCAGTGCGACTTGATCCCTTTGACTGTTGATAGTAATATATCATTGTTCCACAATTCTTAAAAGAAAAAAATTGGCAATTCACAACACGTCTCTCTATTTTTTAAACCGAATACAAAAGCACCTCGACTACAATATTGTAATATTTACAGTTCATAATTATCAAGATTGGATAATTACTAAGTAATCGGGTAACTTCATTTATTTATGGAGTTTTAGGCAACACCTGGCCTGATGAATAACCGCTTGAAATTACGATTACATTTAGTTGACAGTTGCGGTGTTGAAGCGATAATTTACTCACGTTTGAACAGTTGATTGGAGAATTGTAGTCATTGTAACCATCATACCCACCCAGTACAATCATCAATCATTTAATCCGAGAGCTGATAGTTACTACACTGCATAAATTGTGATGGCTGCAAAGGATATTATCAGTAAAAATGTGAACAAAGCAAAAAGAAAATTGGCGAAGATGATAGCTAAGTAGCATGATCGTATCATGGAGATAAAAACTGACTGTAGTGTCCTATTTCAAGTGTTTGGATGCATGGATTATGTCAAGAGAGGAGCTATCATGACGTCTACTAAGTCATTTATGCAGAAAAGTTGAAATTTTGCTAATAAGATCATAGAAATGAATTTAGGTAGCAACGGATACTTGCAACTATCAATTGAAGAAGCTCTTCATTGATACAACATAACAAGCATAGTAAAACTAGTTGGACTGTGAACATCAAGCGAGTATTACCTTTGATACGCTTGATTAGAAAAGCAAATAAACGGGTGAAATTGGAAGGAGTCCCATCCTCAGTTCGGAAAACAGCCAGTGATTGATTGATTCCGGGTGGCGGTCAACCGGCGTAGCTGTAGTAATGACTCTGACTTGGATGAAAGTTGCACAATCGTTAGAGTGGACTGGCGCTTATTCCACAGTCTATCTACAGTAGCGTAGAATAACTGCAAATGGGTTGTGTTAAACGATGAAAGTAATGAGTAAATGGGGGAAAAAAGTAACCTATCCACTCTCGATGAATCCTTTACAATCGAATAGTGATGGTCGTTGCTTTCGACTGAAAGATAAAAGATTCCATTTCATCAGAACTGCCTTTCTTCCTCCTACAATACTGCAGTTACAATGTACAGTACAGTACATGCGGTAGAGTATGTACATACTGTACACTGTACAGTACTGTGCTGTAGTCTGTACTTACAGTACAAAGTAAAAGAGAAGAGTGACAACGCTTTGTACTGTAGTGTACAGTGTACTGTACACTGTACAGTACTGTACTGTACTGTAGTCTACACTCATTTTCGGATCGGATTCGGATTTTATGTAGCGCTTTCAATCGGATTAAATGTTTAGTCATAGTGGGGTTACAATACACTAGTCTACAGTACAGTTCGAGTTCAGAAAAAACAGTTACTGTAAGTTTTGCTGAACTCTATGACTACAGTGTATGGCATGCTTGGTCAATCAATAAGAGTACTAGAGTAGTACTGCATGGGCTTCTAGATAAAATGCTTCGTTAGCACTGTACTGTATCTGAGTGAAGCATACTAAAGAGAGAAGACAGTCCTGTGAGCATAATGATTGTACATTGTACACTGTACAGTACAGTATACTGTACAGTACTATAGAGGGTCTAATAAAGGGTCTAATAGAGGGTCTCTACTTTACTGTACAGTGTACAGTGTACAGTACAGCAAATCGAAAATCTAGTATGATACCTGTAGACTGTAGAGCACAGTGTACTGTACACTTGAGTGTACAGTAAATGAAAAAACTCATCGTCTCATAGTACAGTACTGTACTGTACTGTGCAGTACGTACAGGCATTGCCGTTGACTACAGTACTTTGCACCATAACCACGTATCTATCCGATGTCCATCCGATACTAAATACAGTACTGTACAGTACTGTACATTGAGTACAATAGTGAGACCTTCGGTACAGTACCTTGGCTACAGTACAAAGTACCGTATGCTAGACCAAGCCTTCCGTACTGCGGCTTTCAGAAGAGTTGCGCTACACTCAGTGTACAGTACTGTACTCTGAGTGACTTCCATTTTCTTATTTATCTCTCCAGCAAGATGGAGGTTACTACAGTACTGTACAGTAATGTGATTTTACGTGATACAGTACAGTACTGGAAGACTTGGACTTGGGGCTAACCGCATACGGAGTTTTCAACTTTTGGGGGGCAATATTATCTTCCTTGATTGGTTTCCATCTCTTTAGTCAATTTTTATAGTGCCAGTCGAAAACCCTCTATCCTCCAGTACTGCCAGATGTGAAGAAAAGATGGGATATGAGAATTTTTCGGTAAGATTATGTACAGTTACTAGTCAGAACTAGCAATCAGCAATGAACAAACACTGCTAACATCATCGTCGAATGTCTAAATAGAGATAATCTGGATAAAATCCATCACAAGGGATAGTAGCCAATTTCAAGAATAATAGGATGCGTAATAACTCCTTGTTGTTCAACGTCAATCGATGGAAGTTGTCAAGTTATGAGAGAAAAAGAAAGCACCCTTTCCAATCAACCCCCTCCCCTATCCATCGATCCAAGCTATATTGATTGACTACAGTAGTCCTGCACAGCATGGCCTACAGACTGAGTATGCTCTCAAGCAATGTCGCTTGTACTCAAATACGGTATACTCTACTCTACAGCGAAATGCACTATAGTACACTTGTAATGGTATCGTTAACCAAATGCTCCACTGAGGATGATATGGTTGACATTAGTATACCACTTGCAGTTAGTCAAATTCATCATCTCAACCACTATCACAGCATAGATTGATTCGCAACTAGCTTTACTCCTAGCTGTCATCATGTACAGTAGACTGATAACAGCCACATTGGCCTGCCAACTTGTTGGCTTAATGCATAAACGTTTGTTGAAACTTACTTTTGGACAACACCTCCCAACATCTTGTAAATGCAATTCCTCTTTTTCTTTAGCCCAATTTTATACTGCCAAAAATGTTGTCCATAACAATCTTTCAACGAAAGTAAGATATTGTAGACTCTACGGTCATTTTTAGGGCTTGATGATAGATCAATCGCTGCCGGCCTAGAATTGGATAGGGCTAAAATCATTACTATTTTTACATGCGCAATCTACAATTGCACACTTAAATGTCTATCCTTGCCGCTAACGTAAATCAATTGAGACCAAGACGTAAAGAGAAACATAGTCTAACATTAGAACTTTTTTATTGACAGTCTTGATCATTATCGTCCCCGTATGTCAACAATCATGCCATGACATTCATGCTGAACTAGCTTGTAATGATAAAACAAAATGGATTGGAAAATGGCAATTAAAATTACATAAACGAGAATGATTAACATTACTCTGCAATAGACTTATAACGTCTACGACTTAACCATGGCTAAGTCGTTATTCACCGCTATATTTCAATATGCTCTTTCCAACAAGTCATCGGTAGAGGTTACCTCTTACCCGATACTATGAGCTATCATAATGGTGGACATGTAAAGCTATTATATCATGACCTATCGGTAATAATGATGTTCACAAATTGCTTGGATCTTGGATCTATTGAAAGCATACTTGCAAATCGCAATAAATTAGCAATGTAAACTCATCACTTAGTCATGATGCTACTTCAATTAACTATACGAGTATACTAGCTTTTAATTCAAACTTAAAATATCTCTTCCCAGTTGTCAAATGATATTATGATTATCTATTTCACATACAACTCAGTACGACAGACATGCAATATATTACATTCACTTCGCTAGCTGTTGTTAATAATATGTGTACACTATGTACTGATTATGACCATAGACGATTTCTAATGCGTCTTCTTACTTCGGTGCTACCCTGTATTCGCACGATTAGTGTGCGGTATACAGGACGTAATTGCAATATTGTCAACCTAACTTTACTACATTACACATTAGAAGACTACTTGCAATTATTAATTATTTTATTGCCGTACATTTACATTTTATATAGTCTTAAAATGTTTTTTACTTATGAAACTACGAGTATAACAGAACCTGCTGTTTGTAGATGATAGGCTTTACTAACTCGCATACAACTCTTCATGAATTCATACTATAGTTATCGCGGTTTCTCATATGGACTGGCTGTGCAGTGGCCCTTGCTTTTTACAACTTTGGGTGGAAGAATTGTCTGTTGATTGCCTTTTATTTGGGTCTCTTTATTGTTGGGTAAGCTCAATCGAATTGAATTTGCTGTATAACATTTAATACAAAATAGTAGTCGGTATTAGAGGAATCATTACACACAATGAGAGTGTATTAGTCAACAATTGTAATTTTGTGTACGTATCACTCTATCGGATCATCATTAGTTTAGTATTTTTTTACATTATGTATAAAACTGCAGTGCCAGTAATTCTGTAGAAAGATTGAGGCTGTTCTAAAATGACCTTATGGCCACAATATTGTAATTAACTTAGTATTTGTAGTCATTCCTAAACTCTATGATATAGGCTCACTAGGCTACAAATCGCTTATGCTGTACCTACAAGTCTGAATCTAGTAGCAAATGTACGTGCATCATCAGTAGCAACCGATTATAAGCTCTACTAAATTAATTGCAAACCTAAAGTAAAACAATTTAATCCTAAAAAATTGTTATATGCACATTGAGCTAGTCATTGTGGAACTGCAATCAATTACCTTATAGACAATACTGCCACGAAGCAACATTGTTGTTAGCTCCACTCAGTGTACTGTATTAATGACCGTAAAACTGCGATCTAAAAGCTACACTAAATCATTTATCGATTGTAAAGGCATCAAAAATATCCTTTAAGCCCGATGCAATCATTTCGTATTTCATTCGGTATACTATAAGGATTATTTTAAATACCATAACCCCTTATATTATTCGCAATTCTAGGTGGCTCGGGTACTTGTACAGTAATGCACTTGCTAGCATACAAAATATTTGGATTGACAATAAGCTAATTCGATTACCGAGAAATAAAATCGGAATTGACAAGGTAACTAATTTACCCTAACAATTATAATAAGTAATAACGTGGCCTTGGCGTAATATACTGTTGCATTTTGTAGTTTGCAACCTTGCTATTATAACTTTGTTTCATTGGTAAGTAACTGTGTTTCCTTTATAAGTAACGATGTAGCAGTCATCTATTTATTTTTTAACATTTAGTGTTAAATATTATATAACTGTTTACTGTATGATATTGACTATTACTGTTTGTAGTAGATGCAAGTACTTCTAAGCTGAATTATGTTCTCCATTGCTTCAGATTGTCGAGACTGTCACCGAGGGTGAACGTCAGTATAAACTTGACAAGCGATTAACTGGTGCTAGCATTATTGATGGACCATTGCAAGATGTATAAAAATTTGATTCATAAATATTGCGAATAAACTGATCGTTACCTAGATTTATCGAATTGCTTATAATTATCGATTATATCGTTTATAAATTTTATATAAAAGGTAATTACTTACGCCTTTCGAGATTACATACATCCATGGTACGACAGTATCTCTGGACATCCGGAATTTATTTACGAGCTGCAGCAAGCGATACAAAAGGTTTTAATCAATTTCGCTATAAGGTAATCTAAGGATGTTCTCGATATCGTTAAAAATTTCGTACGAAAAGCTGACACTCGATCGAGTTTCTGTACGTTACGACTTAATAGTGATATTATTTTTATCTTTTCTTGTGAAAATACCAATAAACAGGTACAGTGTAGTAGAGATAATAAAACACTAACAGCTGACATGTAGCTGAAAGACAGTAGAATGTTATTTAATGCTACTTGTCATTGACAGTAAATTTCTATAAGTCTCAATAATCAACCTTTATCCTACCAGTAGCCTGTAACATTCAATAGACTAACCAGTATTGCCCTTGCTATTTGTATGCCTGGGTCAATTTATGATAATGCCTATCATATAAGTTATCTAAGTAACTATGTTTATTAGCTACAGTACTGCGACATATTTTCATAAACATCACTCCTAATGTTATACTAATCGTTGTTACAACAGGGCAAAAGATGCTGATTGGGTTAGGTTGATTACTGCCACCTGCATTGATGATTTCGCTTCACATATTCGACTTTTCAATAAAGCAGTTCAAAAGAGAAAGAAAGAAAGAGAAGGAAAACAAGAGAAACCTGTTCAGAGTAAGTAATTTAAAAGAAAATATTGTGACCTCTATTAATAAACATTATAGTTTAAAAATATTTATGCAATCAACTTTATTTATAAATTCATCGGCAACTTCGTATTGCAAATTTATTTAGTAATTTGTAATTTTAATTTTACAAAACGCAATTCATATCGGTGAAATTACGTTGTAACAGATGAAAGATTTGTTTTGTCATTCTAAACACTTCGTTCGAAAGTAATCCATTATTTACCAAGTTTGCTTATATTTGTTAAATAATAGTTGAGCGTGCTCTAGCTGAAATCGAAGTTATATTTTTCCGATTTGAAAAAGTTATGGAAAAACAATCTATTACCAGAGAGAAAATTTGCACTTGCCCTGAAGTGGAACGAGGTTTGTAATCTCTCATATACTATGCAATTACCTATAAATAGCATACTCGAATCAGTAGTTTTTAAAATTTTCGATACTATTATTGTCGTACATGTAGTTAGTAAAACGAAAACTATTTTATCTTGGTGCATCGTAACATGAAATCTAAAATAAAGTTGTACTTTAAATATTGCAGCTTTTCTACAAGACTTAGTTGAGATTCTTCTCTATCAATATCTTTCTCCGGATGACTTTGGGAACACGGTTTTGAGATCCCTTGCAAGGGTATCATATATACTTAAAAATAAATTTAAGTAATCCTTGAACCAGTTATGAAATTACATGGCTTAATCATTATAAATAATCATAAATTATTTTCTTATTTCATAAGGAAATCATTGTATCTAGTGTAGTAATACCTACAATAAATATTTTATGCGATCCAGATTTTATAAACGGGATGATCATTACCTGGGTTAGTGTATATGAAAAGTAAAAGAGCACTTTTACCTAGTCGAAAATTAATGAAATCATCGCTGATAACATTACTATAAAACATTTTAATCCTTATTATAGATGAAAGAAAATTCTTTTAATTTCGATTCCTTTATTACTGCTATCAGGTAATACATTTGCGCTAGAAAAATAATAGACTATACATAATTTGTTGCCAAGCTAATATCCTGAACGATATCTTTTTAACATACAGAACTACAAGACGTATGCCGGATATAACTGAAACATTACAAAGTGTAGAAACTGAAATTATGCGAGTCCAAAGGCAGGATACTGAAGGTTATCTTTATATCAATGTCAATTATTTACTGCCATTAACAACGCACATAATATTTCTACACTCTAAACAACTGCCTATTGAATAATTTTGGCATGCTTTAGACGCTAAACACCAATTGAATAATTTGAATAGCATTAAACGTGAATGTAATGCTATCTTGAAATATTTGCAAAGGCCTGAAGAAAATGTAAGAAGATGTCAAATTTTATTACAGTTTTGCTTCATTCTCTTTAAGAATTTTTGGTAATTTCAGTCAATCGTAAATTCGATTTTATGATAACCTTCATTATCGTATTACAACTATCCTTTCTAGGATGACCTTGATGATTCGAAGCAAGTGTTACCTGACTTACCGCTACATGCAATTATTAGTAATAATACAGCGTTGTTATATTTTATGGGTTAGTTACCGGGATAAAATCACTTTCTTACCTACGTTATACGTAGGCGTGAATAATTTCGTAATATTGGCCTTCATAATTGCTTACTTAGAGTATCTAGACAGTATTGGTGGAAAAGCCAAGGCCTATCTAAGCTTCTGGCTGAATATTGAAGTCTGTATAAAATATACGCCTAACATAATCAACAATTTTCCTTTATTTTAATGAAAATTACCAATTTTATTCTAATCACCTTTCGAAGTTAACTAAGGTTACGTTTACTGTTTTTAAACTAAATAGTGCTTCCGTACATCTGCTGAACAGCAAATCTCTGCAGTATTACTTAACGATACCAGAGAAGGAGACGAGGTAAGAATGGATTTTATCATTGATAAAATACTTATATATGTGCATCTTAAGTAACAAAACTTTACGATTATGGAAGAAAGTACTTCTCGTGACGTAATTGTGTGTATGACGTCCATATTACCTTGTTAGTCAATATAATAATTTCAAATTTTGGGATTGTGTAGGGTGGGGTTGAACCTGACCTAGAAACTTTAAGAGTTGCTGCCTTCAATCTTTTTGATGAATACCTCTGCGAGCAGGTAGTTAATTCTATTAGTAAGAGTTCGAATTGAAAATGCCATTTTATGAAAGTGCTTTTAAGGATTATTTTACTAACAAAACCAGGCTGACCAGCAAGTCGCTTTGAATCCCCAGACGGTAAAAAAATTATATGAAAATATAAAGCTGTCTATACCATCAGTCGATATGTTCGACACATGCCAGGAAGAGGTACTTAAATTTTATTATCGGAATAAAGATGACTTACGATGAACAGCGCAGCTTAATTAATCTCTTATTGGACTTTGAAATATCGGGTGTCTTGATAGGCTTACCATATCCTCTTACATGATTTTTGTCCCGCGTTCAAGAGAAGCCAATTTTATTATGGGTAAATATGAATATTAAAGGCTTATGGATCTATTTTAAGAACCGCATCTTCACGTCCATTAAACACTAAATTAGAATTTGCTAACAATTGTAGGTGTTGTGTAGACTTGGGGATGGTGAAAGATGAAGCAAAGAACTGTACGAACTAACTAGAATTATAAATAAAATGTTAATCAGCTTTTTTTGTAGATTAACACACTATGTTTCTTGTTTAATGGTTAGCTTCTGTCGGTTCTGATATTGAAGAAGAGTCACAAAATATAGCGCCTGTATCTCCGGTTAGCTTTAACGTATCATTAACAATCTATTTCCGCAATTTTATTAAATTGCTTCATAATTATTTTTATTTTAAGGTCTCTGATAATAATCATGACCCATTAAGTGAAAACTCGCAAGTTTCAAATACAAATAGCACTGATGGAGACCACAGCACTTCACAGCAAACGAATGTCAGTCTCAATGGTGTATCATTTACCGTGGCAGTTACTACTATAGGTACAAATGTATCAGGATGTTGACCATATATTTTATAGTATAATCGTAAACATACGCTATAATTGGCATGAATATCTGTATTTGTCTAATAAATATGCACAGGTGTAACAAAAAATGCATCTACGGGTACTGGAAAAACCTATGCCGTGTACGCAATCAGTGTTACCAAGCACAGCCCAACCGGAGATGAAAGTTGGGAGGTATACCGCCGTTACAGTGATTTTCACGATTTGCATATGCAATTAAAAGAAAAGGTAACTATACATTCATTTATCTCTATTTAAGTTAGCTATATTCTATTAGTGAAAGTTGCTAGCAATCAAGCAATTGTAGTAGAAAAAGTCCGAAAATGTCTCATTTGTGTTATAATATCCATCCATTCCGATTTAATAGTTAGGTGGTAAGTTGAGTATTTCATTACCTGGAAAGAGAACTTTTGGAAATAATCTTGATAAGGCGTTCTTGGAATCTCGACGTCGAAAATTAGATCTTTACTTAAAGGTACTAGCATAGTGTTACAATATTCGTAAAATCTCTAAAGATAGATTGAAAATTTTGAAATATGCATTGCCGTTAAGTTCTTTAACATTGAATGAAATATTGTTTAGGGTATTGTTGATCCAGAGTTTATGAATATGCATAAAAGCCTTATCGTTATCATCGCTAGCTTTCTGGAGCCAGGTTCTTATAACAAAGAAAAAAATAATATACTAAGAAAGGTATTAGTCTTTAGCTATACATTAAATGACAATAAATTTGTATTTTATTTATTCGTCTAGAAGTGTTGATGCTTTGTTCTAATTCTTAAAATGATATTGCTATAAAGTAATTATAATTGTAAAATAAATTAGATGCCGTAGCACTTACATTCAACTTATTTAATGATCCTACTGTCACTTATCGTTGATATGGTTTCAAACTTTCCCCTAGATGGACACGTTTGTTACACCTTTCCGGGATTCTGTTAATACTGCCGTAAAATTAGTAGACCAGAACTTATTTAAACCTTTAGATCAGAACGTTACGAAGAAAATATCTGTTGGACTTAACCGAGTTTTTGACAAAGTAATTATTGGCAAATCTTTTGTTGCATTATAGCTCTGTTATTGTAATTATTAACATATGATTTTATTTAAATAGCCATTTCAAACTAGTAAGGTAAAAGGTGATACTGATCCTGAACTCAACACTCATGGCAGTACTAAAGTTGCAGCGCGCTTACTTTCGAATGAGGTATACCAATCTGTATTTAATCAGCCTAGAATATGCATGATATAATATGTACGCTTGCAATTGAAGTTATACCCCCTGACTAATCGAATATTGTAATAATCCAATGGTAGTCTATCGATGATGATAGCATCCCTCTCCGTATCCTTCTTTTATTAATGGACGAAGTATTTGATTTTCAAAAGAAGTATGCGCTCTTCATTGTATTTCATGTGTCGCTGATGCACATTCATATAATTGTATCATTTGCTACTCTTTACTCACTACATGAGACTAAAGTTATATTTTTCGTGACCTATTTTTGCAGGAATCAATGGCTGGAAAGGCATAAAATTATGTTAAGCTTCTTAAAGCAAATGATTAAAGCGACGTATGGAGATAAATTGAATCGGTAAAACATATAGTGCGATCAGACTATTGATGTATTGTGCTTCAATGCAAGCAACCACGTCAATGCTTAATTTAAACTTACCTGTTACTCATATAGAAAAATTATTGATCAAGTGCAGTATCTTACATCGTCCGAACAAATCGCACAATATGTACGACAACTCAGGTTCAGTGTATAGCTAATTTCGAATAAGAACTTAAGCTAATTTTCTGTGTAGTTCTTATTAATTATCTGAGTATTATATATGTTAATGCAGAGATATATTATGGCCGAACGGTGTATTAGCGGAACCTACGCCTGAAAGGAAATCAGAACAAAAATCACGAGCCCGGATTGTTGCTTTAGCTAAAATGTTGGGAAGTGTTCCAGGTAACACATTATAAATTACAGGCATCTTTCTAAAGATAGATAATTAATTGAAAACATTTACATTACGCAAATACTAGATGATCTGAGAAGAATCATAGGGTCGGAAACTTGTACGGGAGGAATTGTTAGGTTTGTCACATTATTTTCTATTTCGAGCTTTACTCATTTAGGTAACTTTATTGAGAAGTTTTTGATGTAGTATTGATGTAACTTTCATTTTTTCGCAAAGGGTTTTCAATATGTTTCAACAAGCAAACCTGAATAAGCGTTTATTTTACACTATGATTGAAGCAATTTCCGAATCTGTCTTCCCAGAAACTTTTAGCGATATTTTTGCTAAGCTCTATGCTCACCATTGTAAATGAATTAAATTCTTAATATGTGACTTTTACAGGTTTTCAACTGTTTAAAATATAATTTTAGCTATATTTTTTTGTGCTTTAAGCACTCAATTTGTATCATATAGTGCATACGTTTGAATGAATTGTTAAAAGCCTTGGCTCTTTAATAGTCTTGAGAATTTTTACCTTATATCTATTGCTAGAAAACTTGTTTTATCGTACGTTACTGTATTTGTGCACACTATCAACGATCAAAGAAAGTTTTCGGTTAATTTTGATCAAGTGCCTTTTAATCTGAAACACCTAGTATGATATAACATGCGATCAATATAGCGAGTAGTAAGCATATCAATTTGAAAATGGAGTGCGATAGTACTCATATAACAACATACTTTATGACAAATTAGAAAGGAACAGTTATTTATAAGTTGTTAAGTCTAGAATAAAATGTAACTCCTTCGATTTCATTTACCGATTGCATCAATTTAGTAAAGTGTTTTGGGCCTTAAACGGATCATTTTATGACATTACATCATTTTAGAGATAATGAAGTTATGAACAGGATTGCAAAGTTTGAACTCTGCGACAGTGAAACTACCTTCAGTTTATTGCTATGAAAGATAGCAGCTAATACTATAACTACCACTGATGTATGCTACGGTACACAACACATAAATTGAAAGATTTCCTTCAATATGATATTTATCCAGCCTCATTAACTAGTACATATTATCATGGAGAGTATAAGTACTGTATATCTACTATGTTATTATGCTCATTTCGATAACACCTTCTTAGCCGAATACTGGGGTAGGGCTTTTAAAAACTCGTGAAGGCATTTCCGATCAACATCTAATATTAGAATCACGAAGCATAACCACATTACTGATTATCTTTACTTAATACACTTAGATGTCTAGAATAAAATTTTGATTTATTTAATTTTGAAAGCAATAAAAATTTACGATCACAATCATCCTTCATATATCAACGTTCATACTATATTTTCCATAGAATTGCAACTATTTACCAATGAGTAATTACGTGATATCTACTAAACAGAGCTATCACGTATTAATGGATACAGGAGAACATGATTATGTGTACAGATGGATCACATTCTACAATAGTATGGATGGATACACGCTTATATATACTCGTAAGTATGCTATTTCAAGAGGGGCAACAGTACTCATCAATGGCATATATGTGTGTTCTAATTGTTTACGTTATGCAATACATTAGCTAATAGTTATGCGATATAATTAACTATAGCTAATTCTACAGTATGTATAACGAACTGAATGAATATTGTAAGAAGGGCCTTTCTTGGGATTCTCTATTCTGACTGCAACTCTGGTCTGTTATATCCCAGCGCTACTGCAAATACGTGTATATGAATTGACTTGTGTAAGGTGTCGTAGTTCTAAACTATATGCACATTGATCCTAGAAATATACCTATGAGGGTATTATTACAACCATACTATGAAACTGAGAACGTTTTGACTAAAATATCATTGAATAATGAATCGTATAAATTCTACAACACATATGGCTATATCTATCTTATATGCTGTACGTACTACATACTACATGACAATAAGTATCTTTAAGGTTTCGACAATGATGTGAATATTTCATATCCTCTGCAACATTTCTGAAGTTTGTTATTACACTATTAGCATCTTTCAAAAACAGGAAGTTAAAAATAAATTATCTTTTCTATCAAATATAATCTATATTATCATTTCATAAATTGATTTAAACCTCATATCATAGTTATATTAATTATAGCTGCAAATTACTGTGAAATGGCAACGACTGCTAGTTGTACTACAACGTTACTTTCAATAATATAATTAATTCATAGACGTGATACTAATAAAAATTGACTAATAGTATAAAATTCAAGTATTGCGCATAATTTTACCTCTAATTTTGAAAGATTAGCGCTAGAATAGAACGCAGAATGTATGCGCTAAATTAAGGATGATAGTGATATATGACAATTAACCATCTACGAAAAAATCTCTACTATTGTCTTGCTTGATACTATTCTTTTACTAAATAATTATTGTAATAAATACATATAAACAGATTGATCATGACACACTTTGTAATCAGAGTCCTTACAGGATAACCACAAGACAGTTAATCATCAAGAAGAAGAGACCACTGAATGTATTTGTGTAGTTCAAAGTAAGTTGGTATTATACAATTCGCGGAGCCATTTGTAATGCCATTTGGTACATTTGTTTCATTAAGCCAACTTTGACTATGCCATGCTCTGCAAATCGACGACCAACCTCATAGCGTGAGAAACGATGATTAGGTCTCAAATAAGGATAGTAAACGTGAAATCCAGGATGATTTCGTGGTCGTACCTTGATTTTACTAGCCAATATGCCAATATAGACATCATCGATTGACTGCAGTATTTTGACGTGGGGAGCTACATCAAGCATTTGCGACAAGACATCGAAGGAGAGTACATAAGCAAAGCCAGAAACAAATGGCGGAAAGGTTTCACCTTTATAATCGTCATAGGACACATAATATTTATGTGTTTTAAGACGACATGGCTTCAAGGCAGTACGTTCAGCTAGTCGACCAACAAAAAATTTTTGCGCTTTATTACCCATACTAGCTAAATAGTGGTAGAGTTTTGGAGCATTAACGAAGACATCATCATCACCTTTATAGATAAATACTGGTTTACAATACTTAGCAGCCCAAGTCATACCGAATAATGTTTTACGAGTTAAATTTTTAACATGCTCGACGATATCAGTCAAGACTATGTCACCATAGAGCTTGGCTTCTTTTTCGACTAATTTCCTAATAGTAGCATTTAATGACAGGCTAACAACAAACACTGTACGCCATGCATTGCCTTTCTTGGGGCTTCTTAATGTAAAATAGCTGCTATTTCCCCATGTTTGACGGATACTTAAACGACGATGGAAATGTTCTGCTTTACTATTGATGGTCAATAGCACATATACCGGTGCTGGACAAGGTTTAAGTCCACGTTTTGGCTTGACGACTGTGCAATTTTTACAAATTGGTATTGATTTGTTGGCGTTTTCTCTATCATTATTATTTTGATTGTTAGTACTGTTGATGCAAGTTAAATTATTATCATTATTGCTTATATTGTTATTGATATCATTATTCTCCACAATAGACAATTTTTTTATTGCAGAACGTCGAAAGGCTTCTTCTGATTCAATGATGGGAATTTTTTTAACTGGCTTAGGAAATAACAAGAGTAAGAGAGTGATGCAAATAAAACAGACAAGCAAGCAATACTTGTAAAATGTCTTCATTGCACGAGTACCAATGGCTAAAATGGTGTCCACTCTTTTAATGTACATTGACGATGACACTGGAAATAGATGGCGGACGTAATCGATGTTCTCTTGACTAGAATCAATCCTCAGTCTCCAAGGTAGTCGATGTTTGTTGCCAATGACTTCCTCTACCTCTACAACTTAAATTACTGAATGATTGGTGGTTGATCTTCATTGACAAGGTACCAACATTAGCTCATCCATGGCATTTGTCCGCCATTAGGTTGGGTTAGCGTCTGCAGATTGCTAGATTGCACACTACTAGTAGATGCATCTTCCTCCGACGCTTAGTTTACAGCATGCGTTCTTGTGCGCACGCGTGAGAAGATAGGCCGCTTGATCGGACGGTCGGACATTTCTGCCACATGTGAGTCATATTAATTAATTTAATTTAATTTAATTTAATTATCACCTACTCGTAGATCATTTCCATTTGTTATAATTTCATGAAGCCAATGTTCGATTCTGTAATTCGCTTATTTTTCTAAATAAAGCAGCATTGCATTGAAATCTATTCAATTTTAGTTAGTTCTGTTCGAAAGCAATTATGCAAGATCATTGATGTTGTTGAATATGTAGAAGTGATTAAGAAAAATAGACATAGAAGATCCATACGAAGTACCTAATTTTTCGTGTTTCATTGGGTCTTAAAAGTCTGTCCGTCCGATCATGCCCAGTCTAGTCCATTCGGACGCTCGGACAATATGGCACATCTTTTACTATAATACTGGCCTATTCCATGGACTACTAAAAGAAAAGCTTACTTTTAGTAGTCCATAGCAATTATGCAAGGTAATTGATGTTGTTGAATATGTAGAAGTGATTAAGAAAAATAGACATAGAAGATCCATACGAAGTACCTAAATTTTCGTGCTTCATTGGGTGTTAACAGTCTGTCCGTCCGATCATGCCCAGTCTAGTCCATTCGGACGGTCGGACAATATGACACATCTTTTACTATAATACTGGACTATTCCATGGACTGCTAAAAGAAAAGCTTACTTTTAGTAGTCCATAACTATTTCTAACACTTCCATTCGCTCGTATTATTATGCGGATGCTCCATTCTGTAATTCACTTATTTTTCTAAATTAAGTTATATTACATTGAAATCTATTCTATAGTACTAAATTCTGTTCGAAAGCAGTTATACAACGTCATCAATGTTGTTGAATATGTACAAGTGGTTCAGAAAAATAGATATAGAAGATCCATACGAAGTAAGGAAATTTTCCATATTCAGCTTCATTGGGTCTAGAAAATTCTGCCCGTCTAAGATTCTACTACAAAGCCTCTTGACCAAGTCTCTCTTTCAGGCCCTTGCATGATATCAGACCGATATTACGACGTAAAATGGTCAGACCAACCACACAAGTATCCATGACTGATTGTTTGCATTCGAGATTTTAAAGAAATAAAATCAGTATTCAATACTGCGTTAAAAAGGAATAAAAACATCAAGCACCAGAGACTAATAGATCCATTCGAAATTTAAAAAAATAAAATTACTCAACACTGCAATAAAAATTAATAAAAATCAAGTGCCAGTGACTGTTGGTTTGTATTGGAAATTTCAAAGAAATAAAAATGACTCAATACTGCAATAAAATGTAATAAAAAAATCAAGAGCCAAATTGCTCAAACTTATACTAATCTGTCTGCGTGGAATTTGAGCTAGATTGAAAATGTATTTTCTGAATAATTGAAAGATATAATTTAATGCAACACTATGGTTGAATATCTTTCAGCCTTTAGTTATAGAGGGCTCACTACGCCTATGTAATGCCTATCTAACACCGGGTCTCTAAATAATATATAATGTACACGAATAGTCTTTTTCTATGTCTGCACTGCAGTATTTTACAACTTTCTTCTGTAATCTTTCACTATAGAATTTTATACACAGACAAGTCATATTTTGCAACATTTTATTGAACGCTTACTACTTGAATTTACAGATATTATTATGTGGGAAACCAGATATAATGCAAGACGGACATATGTACTGTATGTTACTTCATGCAAAAGATATTGAATCAAATTATACGCGTATTATCATGGTATTATTGATTTTGATATTTGTTATTACATCCGATCTACTATACTTAATTAATTGCAGCCTAATATGTACCAGAATAGCCATACAATTATTTATCACTAATTTCATAGTGAAATATTCTCTGCTTACAATCACTAGCTATACACTAAATTATATTAATTTTATTTTAATGAAATTAACGTTCCAGACTTCAGCGGTGATTAATTAGTAAATAAAATAAATGCAGATGTTAAGTGTGTAGGAGGTCAGAAAAGATAGTCTTTAATTGAAATTGACGTTCCATACTTCATAAAGGGATTAATTTGTAAATATAATAAATGCAAATCTTGCGTGTAGGAAATCAGTAAAGATAGTGTTTAATGATGTGATGTTATTAGGAGATATTCTCACCTACATGATGTAAGTAATAACAATATAACTGTAATTTGTGTGCCAATGTATTGGTGGACTAGCCAGATACTGTATATAAAGGAGCTAACACTAAATAAAGTGGGTATTTTATTGTTGGCCTAATTCTGCGCTTTTCGAAATTGTCCTCAGCCGGATACATAACAGCAGGTATAATGTTATAAGTTAAAAAGATACTGCATTAACAGAAAATTATGTATGATAAAAACCAAATATCATGTTTTCTATTCTCTTTAACTTTTAATGTGATCTTTTAGATGGTAGCTAGGCTAGATATGCTAACAAATTTAAAAATTGATTCCGTCCAATAAAATTGAGTCAAATATCAGCATAATCTATAAGGACTGTAATTAAAATTTCGCACAACTATAATATCGACATATGGACTTTTAAAATATCTTAGTAAAGGTATCTGATCATAGCTCATTAGTGGAACCTGGAAAATTGATGTAGCCACCAAATATAGATATTTAGAATAGTTACCGGTTCATTTGGTCTAGTCGAAGGGAATCTATATCATAACGAACAAGACCTCATATACCTGTAACATTACGAATCACATAATACAAACACAATAGTAATCTTTTAGATCAAATAATGGAATAATAAGTTAACCGTGAAAATTATCATGTTTAACAACAATCTAATGTGGATGTAACCTGGAGAATCCCTAAATACGATTTTGCAATATTTTACTTAATTAATGAATCAAATGAATCTGATATCTGATAGCTTATCCGATCCACTACATTTTTTTGTATATATTGTGATGATGGCTAACAATCATTTCTAAGATAAGCTTTTTCCTAATTTTCGTCGACTTAGTAAGGAAAACGAAAAGAAATTACAGTATATCTTGAAATTCATATTGATTCCCAGTATCATTAAGACATCGTATAAACTTTCATACACTAAATTAATAATCTAATATATGTTGCATACCACGCTGTGTCTTACAAGCAGTATAGCATTTGCTTGATTAATATACGTAGGTATGCTTCGAGCTAATACATAACTGTTTCCGTGAACTGAGTAAAGGACGCACGGTATAAAAATATGATTTTCATAAAACTACTGCCATTTTCATAGTGCCGTGTACCGTATATACTTAAATATACTGCTGGTACTATTATCTAAGCCTTGCATGTAAATTGTAATAGTTAAATGCAACAAACCTACGACTTACAATATTCTTTCCACCAATACTAATGACGAAGGACTTTGAAAAAATTTTATTGCGGGTTCTCTTTAACAAAATTTCTACAACAGCAGAAGTAATTTCAAAAGTAGCTAGCTTTATATCTTCTAACCTTAATCACGCACAGCTACTGGAGTATATGCATAAAACTTAACATTTTAGTAAATAATATTGACAATCATATATTTTAAGATCTAAATGTGTATAACTTTATGCTATACTTTGAATACGCTAGAAGATGCATATAGCACGAGATTGAGCACGACCCTAGCACGATCTGACCCTTAAGCTTATAAATTAGGTATCTAAAAAATTCATTGGCCCTTACCCAAAAATAGATTAGTTTTACAATTCTAAATCTACTAACAACCTATCTTGCATAGTAATATATTATTATTGCAGTACAAGTACCGTGAACTTTTTAGAGTATTGATTTAGTTTATTTATTTCCCTAGATTGTTTATAGTCCCAAGATCATCAATAGAAATCATTGAATCGTATCACCAGTCTTAATACAAGAATTAAATTCTTGAATTACTGTCTTTGGTTTTATGCGAAATCAAAATTGATTAATTCTTTATAATGATAATAAGACCTTACACTTATAACTGCTAACTTCAGATAGCTCTATATTTTTGAAACGATATTTGTAATCTCCATAACAATAACATGATTTTACTTATACTTATAACCGCTAAATGTAGAGAGCTCTATATTGTTGAGAAGCCATTTGTAACCCTCACAACGATGACATGACCTTACTTTTACTTAAAACTATTAATTCTAAATAGCTCCACATTGTTAAAACGCTATTTGTAATCTTCACAACAATAACATGACCTTATAATTATAAAATGCTAGCTTTAAATAACTCTATATTATTGAAATGGTATTTGTAATCTTCACAACAATAATATGACCTTGCACATACAGTACTTATAACTGCTAGCTTTAGACAGCTCTTTGTGCTGAAATGATATTTGTAATCTCCAGAACAACTACATGACCTTGCTTGCACCTAAAGCTGCTAACTTTAAAATAGATCTACATTGTTGAAACGAATTATAACCTCCACCACAACAGCATGATCTTACTTATACTTATAACTGTTAACTTGAAATAGCTCTCTATATATATTGTTAAAACCCAATTTATAATCTTAACAACGACAACATGACCTTACTTACGCTTATAACTGTTAACTTTAAATAGCTCTATATTGTTGAAACGCCATTTATAATCTTCAAACAATATTAATATTATTAAAAAGTGTATCAAACTGTTAGATAATTGGGCTTTGTACACATTTTTAATAGTTCTGCGCAGATGGTAATTAATTGATACACTAGAGTAGGCGTGACGGGTATTCTAAAGTTAAGATTATAAAGTAAGGTAATAAGATATGTTCATGGACGTAATCTATTAATGAATTTTTTGTTAACAATTCTTACATAATTTAGATGTTGATATTTATGAAGATAAGTTGTGGACCTTAAATTTTCTTTTTATGAAGGAAAATTGTGCTACACTGTTAAATAAAAAGATTTTTTGATTTTCGAATTTCATAATTGAATTAGATTAGGTTTAAATGGAATATTTTTTATCTGAGATTTGTAAAGTTTCTAATTAGTAAATTACCAGGTAGCTATATGATTGAGCCCGAATGTAGTGACAAAAGAAGGAAAAAATGAACTTGCATAAATTTAATTTCCAAAAAAATCTTTCAGAGTTTGGTACTTGTTTCTTCCACCTTAAACTTAAGTACTAGCAATGCAAATAAAAAACAGACTGCTGACTACGAAGCTAGAGCGATAGATCATAATATCAGCTAGATTATAAATCTAATAAGAGCAAGTTAATATGGATTTATCTGTAAGCAAAGTAATGAATTTACTATATAGCATCGCAATAATATTCATATAAATTAAATACAGCTAAGTTAGCGGAATATGTACTGAAATGATAAGTTTACAAAGAAATATGTTAAGTGCGAGAGGATATAAAGGTTATACTTTACTATATGCAGTACCGATTAAAGAAGCTACACACAATGTGTATTGAAAGAACAAATATGCTTGCGAGAATGGTTTAAGAGACAGAAAGTATAAAGGTCATATTTTTTCTATTTGATATGTTGATTAAGGCTACAGCTCTTTATAGTTACCAAAAATGCCTTAGCACAGCTAAAGTTGAACAGAAATTGTATTGTAATAACAAATTTGCTTGAGAAATTAATCTGCGAGACAGAAAATTTGAACGAAATATTTTTCACATTTGGCTGCCAAAGTAATACATTTAGGCAGCTATATGTGCGGTAACAGTGATATATGAGCATCTATTTGACCATCTTTCCTTTCTTGTAATTCATGAATAGGTATGCTAAGTTAGACCAGTTAAGTTATTGACTACAGACAGCCAGTGAATAAAATCAGTAAACCAAGATACTTCCTTTTGTATTAACATTAATACACAAAGTAATACCATACTTTGTCAACGCTGCACATTAGATATAGATGTTATCATAGATATAGATATTGCATGGAAGTTAATACGGAATATGATAGACTATACTGGTTAAGAGCCATATATAATATAGGTATAGATATAATGTTGGATGCACAAGTAGATAAAAAATGTAGACACTTAAAGAGCAGATTTCTATCTTCGCTTCTCGAAAAGACCGGAAGTGAAATAGTAATCAATCAATTATTGATAATAAGAACTACATTTGTTAAATTACAGTGTGACGGAAACATTGAACCAATAGGTATTTTTATTTTTCACGCTAGCATCGTGATCGTCCTATGCAGGAAAACGATAACCAACAATTTCTCATTCTAAGTGATAGCAACTTCCATCCGTAATTCGATCCAACTGGTAAATTGCCCTGCAATTTTAAGGTGCAATTATAATAGATTATCATGAGTTCATATGATAATTTTACAAATTTGGATAATGGATCTCAAAGTACAAGAGATTCACTAGGCTTTGGGGAATACGTGATCTCTTCAGTTTATGCGCTTATAGCCTTCATCTCGGTCACATCCAATTTAATGTTTTGTTTGATCATTTACAATTATAAGAAAAAATCATCAACTACAAAAGCTATAGAATATCTCTTCATGAATTTAGCTATTGCCGATATGATAGGAGGCATATTATTGGTAATTGTACCTGGTTTCGTTATTCCTAAACCCATCTATCCTATTCCTCATGTTGGGCTTGATGTATTTTGTAGTCTAATTTGGTCGAATAGCTTATTTTTTTTGGCAGGTTTTATTTCAGCGTGGACATTATTAACCATTAGTATCGATCGGTGGTGTGCTATTGCTAGGCCATTTTCTTACAAAGAGTTTTGTACTAAAAAGAAAATGCTCATTATGATCGTAATAATATGGATTGCGAATATTGGCTTAGAAATACCTAATATCTTAAGCTTTACTGCTAATCCTAATGGCACTGGTTGTCAATCATCTAATTGGGTAGGTTCTATTGATCGAAAGGCCATAGTTACAGTAGTCCAGCTCATTCGTATATTTATACCAAGTTTTATTATCGCGGTTGTTTATATGGATATTGGATGGCGAATACTTTTTGCTGGTTGTCATAAAAGGATCAGAACTGATAGTAACCTTAGTGCGAATATCAATCACACTTCTCAACGCGATGCTCTTATCCGCAAGCAAGTAACTATTATGAGTTTCATAGCTGCAATTGTTTTCTTAATTTGTTGGCTGCCAAATGAAACTTATTATACAGCAGCATTATACCATCCAAGGTTGTTTAAAAATGTTACTTTTCGTCGCGTTACCAAATTGCTAACGGGACTTAATTCAGCTCTTAATCCTTTAATCTATGCAATTTCCAATAAATTTTATCGTCAGGCATTTATGGAATTACTTCGCTGCAGAATATCTAAAATAGGAGCAGTGAAGAATCCGCTATATTTCCCCGTATTCGTCTCGCGCCATACTGCTCTCGTTAAACCATCAGAAATTGGAATATGATTTCATGGCTTCACAAAATGCTACCTTTCATACAAGATTATATAGCCCACGAAAGTAAAAAAATGTTAACTATGTTTCATAGTTAAAGATTTCTATCAACTTTTACGAAGGTGCTAACACTGTACTACTCTCTAAAAATAGAATTCTGTTTCACTTTTTCTTAGACTGTGTGTGATCATGAGAGAAAAAAAAATTAAGTCAATTGACAAATTCCGTCAATTTTGGTCAGGGTATTATTCCAAATCATTAATAAGAAAATTTTCATCATCATCGCATATTTTTGTAAGAGATTAAACCTTCAATTCAATGATGAGTTATGTGTTTTTTTCAATTCTTTGTTCCTAACATTAATGAATAATTTCGTTATAACCACTTTTAGTGAGACATAGATCTACTTAATTATGATATAGCTTTGCCTATTGTCTCTCTTTCATAATTATGCACACATTATACAGTACTGCCGATTAATTTAAATGCTCATGTATAATTCTCGTTGATGTTAGCTGACCCAATAAAATTCTAAATAAATAATTACTATATAATTGTACTATAAAGATTGTGGACGAATTTAAGTTACGATTTATCCATTGCTTTGGTTGTAGATTGTCATAGGCAAGAATTATTTGATGAAAACTCATCGTTATCATATGATCATTATACTTTAGTTAGTATTGAGGGTATTAAAATCATTTATTCAATGAACAATTATAACTATTGCAAAACCTTTAATTTTTATTATATTGATCTTTAGTCTACTGCAAGATATTGCTATCGGTACATATTCTAAAATATCAGAACTAATTTAATAACTTGGTTTTCTCTTTTTCTGAATGTCAGTTTGCCAGTATGTACTGTATTTCCACTTTTTCTCTTTTTAGCACCTGCGGCAGTTTGCTAATTCTATATAAATACGCGCATATCTATATAATGGAAATGATAATGATAAATTATGCGCTCTAATTATGTTTATCTTATAACTGCTTATTAATTTAAGGTGGATTATTTACTCGATAATTGGTAATAAATGTTGCATTAGGTACCATTAATTAGCGATGAGGGAGCAGAAAATTAACGTCAACCCTAGCAAACGAGAGGGTGCAAGTAATATAGTAAATACTGTAAATGCTGTTAAAGACAACATAGCTAAATATTGCGCAGTACGGTCTATAATCTTGAATGCGTGTTTGATCAAGCCATGATACTTTAAATTCTGTATTTTATTAGTTCTGAAATAATACTATTAAACTATAACAGTATTGAAACGTAATATAGAGCGCAATATACAGTAATTTAGGTATGAAATTTCAAGGTTACGTGGACGTTTTAGCACAGCCACTTTGGCCTGGCTGTTATTGTAATTATCAGCAACATTTTAAAACTAGTTCTGTAATCGGTAGTTTGTAGCATTATTCAATGATTAGGCAGTGAATTGGAATTTCTTACAATATTATCATAAATAAAAATTATAAAAGGTTTTATAACCAGCCACCGACACTGTCTACATGTTACCGTATCAAATACTGTCGATAAATATTTTAGTAGGTAGTAAACTTGATACGAAGCAAGACCAGCACATTCGGGCACACACATGTAAATACATAGAGTGCATTTTAATTACGCTTTATGGTATTTTCGGTTAATGGATATCAAACTATGATATTATGGTAGGACATAATAATAGTCATTGCTACGTTTTCCTAACTATATTCAATCAATAACAGTCCAGCATGAGCTAGAATGGTCATACAGCTATTCAGGGCTAATTTTTACAGTTAAATATTCTCTACTCAAAACTCCTAGTTTATACGGTGCTGTAGATTTAATTTATTTAATGAAATTGACGTACTGTACTTCATATGGTCACTGATATCTATCTTTTAAAACCATTTTTATAATAAGTGCCAATACAATATAACGAGTTAAAGCTATAGTTAATTATATTTTGACGATGCATTAACAGGAAATTGCATGAGGTATAAATAGAATATCGTATCATTTTAATACGAGAACTGCATTAAAGATACATAAAAAATATTTGTCATCCAATATAAGCAATGACTTTTTTTGTTCATCGCAGCTACTATGACTAATACTAGTATTGTACTTACAGTACCAGTAAATACTATCCCTAGAGTTTTATAGCATGTATTAAATTGACATATTACACATATATTGCAAAATAAAGCTATAAAGATTCAAATCAGTAATTGGATTTTAATTAGTTTTAAACACATTTTTGGCATAGATCAAATCATATGATAGTGTTAATTAAATATATTAGTTATTTAATAAATTTTTACCCATCAATGCTTTACTATATACTGCATGAGATGGACCAAAATCGAGTTTTAATACTTCAAGTAGCCTAATAGAAAGGCATGATTGGCCTAGATAAATATTCATATAAAGTCTTGATCACTCTCAGTACTTGCAATGATCGTAAATTTGACGAAGCATTCTCATTTGTCTAATTGGTGATCTAATTCCATGAACCGCAAATAATTTACAAAGCTTAGGAATGGAGATATATTGTAACGTAAATGGATAATGTTGAACATCAAATCGATGATCATGAGTCGGAACTAATCCAATTTGTTGGCCAAGCATGCCAATAAATACGTCATCGATCGATTGAATTTTCCTCTTGTACTGTACTGCGTGTAACATACCTTTTAAAACATTAGCTGACATAATGTAGGCAAATCCTGAACAATATTTCGGATAAATTGATCGGCTATAGTCTTTATAAGACACGTAATATTTACTTGTATTCTGGCGTACTACATCACGATTCTTTTCACCAACATTACCAGCCCATAAAGTTGGGGCTAATTGAAGATCAGGACGCCTACTTAATTGACGATTTCGTTGAATTAAGTAATGAAAGAGATTGGCCTGATTGACGAAAACATCATCATCACCTTTATAGTAATATTGTGGACGGCAATACGTTGCAGCCCAGTACATGCCTAATATCGTTTTTTCCGTTAAATTTTTAAAATGATCAATAAATTGGCCAATTAAGATATCACCATAACGCTTAGCTTCATTTTCAACAGTAAGATTAATGTATGCATCAGTAGAGCGGCCAATAACAAAAATTGTTCTCCAAGCATAAGGATGATTCATTTGTTTGATTTGTGTGCTACCATCACCCCAAGATTTACGGATGCCATTACGTCGAAATATGTTATTTGGCTTACTGTTAATAACAAGAAGAACAAATGCATCTTTTCTACAAGGCCTGATATCGCTGTGATTCTTCCAATAAGTAGTTATTGGATAACGTTGGGTTTTTGATTTAGCTTGGGTTGGTAATTTGTTTGATAAATGGAATTTTTGCACAGAAATCGTTTTATGATCTAGTAAACTTGTTGCGTTCCCTGCTATTCCCGTGGATGATGCTAAATTTGGCTTTTCTACCTTATCATTCCAGGTTTCTTCAACATGCAAACTAAGGTTATTCATACCAGATTGATGACGTTGATAGAAACCATCTTTAGTCATTATTACATATTGACCATTTCTGTGATGACGACGACAGAGCATCGTTATTGGACATTTTGCAGATTGAGTTTTACAGCGTTGACTTAATATACAAATAGGAATCAATCGATTATCAACGTAGATAAAACCTAGTAAGAAGATACCTACATAGACAATACATATTAAATAAAGATATTTCTGAACTGGTACCATAGTTGAAGAGAAATGTTGAAATGTAGCTAATTATTTCAAGAATAGCGATTGAAAACCATCCTATAAGCGACTTTATGTAGTATTATTGGTCGATCTCGTTAAATAATTATAATCAATCATTGAGCATCTTAGCAATAAAGAATAATCATCTAATTTTTGCTGTATCTGATATAAGATTGAAAGCTTTACTGCCTAATATTGTGCATCATGATGGTATATCAGCAAAATTATATAATAGATCTCGCATTAGTTCAATTCTATACTATAAGCACTTATATGCCTTGTTGTAGGATGCATTACATCACATAATCGTACAAACTTGAACTTTGTCCATTTACTCATTCTTTCACTGGCTAAATGTTTATTTTATTATGAAGTTGTTGATTAAAACATAGTGATCCTTTCCTAAATATTACATACCACATATCGGCACATGTAACTACTAAGTGCGGAAATAGCTCTTGGAAATAAAAATAATAAATGGATAGATTGCCAACAGAATATCATGATTTCCAATTTCAATTTTAAAGACTGATTTTATAATTTCTGAGGCTAGTATGCTGTGCTATCGCATTTATACCATTCGAAAGATAGTTGTAGGGCTATACCATCACAGACAGGAATTAATAATACTGACGGCAAGTCTGTGGTGATGTAATGTAACAACAATTTGTCCTTGCCTTCTACCTGGATTTATGTCGTCTGCCTTTGCTAGGTTTACTACACGAAGATTGCTGTAAATATTGATATACTCTTATCAAATGACGATTTATATTTAGTCTTAAGTGTGGTCATCCTATATACTATATGCGAGCATGTGTTAAACCTTGAATATTCGCTTTTGCACGATACGACAAAGTTTTGATAGTCTAAATACGTCTTGGCAAAAGAGAGATTTGATTAGTTAAAATTCTATGTGTTAATATATATATGTATTGCACGGAAATTTGAGGCTTTTGATTGATAAAAATGGGGGGGGAGTTTCTGCACAATACGTGATCGGAAAAAAACTTTCTTAAATTACATTACGCTACGCGTTTGCGAAGGATGGAAATATGCTGCTGGTATGTTTGATATTATTTACCAAACCTGCAGTATTCTAAAATATTTAACTATCGCTCAAAATAGGTTTATATTTATTAAAAATGATCACTACTCGATAGCGACTATAGCATTGTTCATATTATTATTTAATAACCATGATTAATGGCATCTTACTTTTCTTAGTATACATCCTAATGACATCCGATAAATTCGAGATCAACATATACGTGTATACTTTCCAAATCAAAAAGTCCAAAACACGCAGGCTAATGTACTGTACATCGTATACTTATAAACACATACAGAACAATCATGTAATTATCGTCAACACTTATTACAACATAGAATCATAAATAAGATCTACAGTAACATTGCTTAGAGCCTAATTGCTTAATTTACATTTCACTAGTAGTTACATTATCATTGGACTTTTTATATAGATTGCTAATAATTCTTGCACTTGAAACGAACTACTTTCATATAGAGTAGCTATAAGGACTATACTGGTATTGCTAGCTAATACTGCCTAAGAAATGATACATTTGTATCATTATTGTCTAGACGTGTCATAAAAAATTCTTATTATTGTATTTATACTATTTCCTATCATAAAAGTACTAAATGTGTTGCAAGCAGTGTGAGAGTAGGCTATATATACAACGTCGCAAGTTCGCGATTGTCCTTCTTCCATAGTTTGCACAAGTACAAATATCGTCTACCAACAAATACTTAACGAAACAAACTAAGACTGCCATTTACAGTATTTGTAATAGAGGCACCGATAGCACGAGATATCACTGCTTTAAGAGTAGGATTCACCCCAGTAGTAGTTCAAATATCCCTTTTTTAATATAAATTAACAAAATTTTTCGCTAGAGAACAGAAACACGACAGAGTACAAGTAAAATTATCCGCAACATTTAAATGATCTCATCATGCTATATTTATAGATATTTTATAAGCCTGCATAGGTTTAACAAAGTTACAGCGACTACACAATAGTAGTTAAAGAGGATATTCTATTTTATTGCATCTTCATTAACTTAAACGATATCAAGACTCAAGCGGAATAATACATTTACCACAACTAAATTAACTCTATTTCAGCATTTTACTATAATAATTTTTTACCTGTTAACGATTCCAAACTCAGATTATAAAGAAATAAATACGCTACTATGTATCGACTCGAGATGATCGTATTTTATAGAGAAATCGAACTAAAATGAAATATCCAACATGCCTGTACTTTCTGTCCTGGTATTCATATTTAATACCAGATATTAAGAACTACATTATAACAGCATTATGGGCTGATGCCTTCCTTACTGCATATAATATTGTAACCCCAAATCATATATCGCATTCAACTTGCAAATAAAATATTAATCAAAATCTAGAACATTAATATTTTGATGTTCTTATCCGATGACGACATACTCAAAAGAAACAGTAAGAATTGTTTAATTTGAATACAAATAGAAGAAAGAATCGTGACTAAACATGCATAAGGATTGGCTATTAGTATGGAATATTTTATTTCAAAGTTTGTTGAAAAATGAACATAAAAACATTATCATACACAATATTATATAATACGGTGCATGAAATATTAATAATTATCAAAGGACAAAATCATGATCTCATATTTTGGGAATTTTACGTAATTTATGAAGTCAATCAAGAATTTAAAAATCTTAAATATGGAATGGCGATAACTATAATTTGCCGATAAAAAATTTTTTACCAATAGTTAACAAATTATAAATTGACCTATATTAACGTAGTTCAACTTCAGCAAATTAATTAGATTGGTTGTTTTCGAAGGCTCCCTATTTTATAGGATATATGGTTCTACGATGAATTTGATAAACTAAAGTTTTTGTGTATATTAACTGAGTCTATACTAGATGCCATAACATATGATTTCAAGTTAATAGACAGTCGAAAGATACTACACAACCTATGTAGCATTTCACTTATAAGATGATAATCTTAATCAATATGAAACGATCAGATATGAAAGGCATCTATTACTTCTTTACTGTACTCTTCTACGATATTCAAGTAAATATACACAGCATGCTATTGTTTAGTATAAAACGTAAAAATAAATATTTTGATAAACAGTATTCATCCTATTACAAAAAATTACAAAATATTTATATGCAGTTTTCATATAAAATTAAGTTTATCATGATCTAAATCGAATTAAAATAGCATTTCCAAATGTCCAGTGATTTGCTTGCAGCTTTATTGGGATCCATGATTTCATGGCTACCAAGGACATAAAAACAAGTCATACCCGTGGGAATGGGTGGCTCTTGATAGGAATTCGTTTCTTGCTCTTGTGAATCCGATGTTGTTGATTGCTGGCTATCGCCTGATACTATAGATAATGCATCGGGAGAATAATTCCCTCCTAATCGGCTATTAGCTGGAGCAACAGAAAGCCGTTGAATATGAGGGGTAGATAAGTTAGCAACTAACTTTTCATGGTTTTCGCCTGTATTATCGGAAAGAAAAGAAGCTGGCGAAGAGCCGGGCCTTAAATGAACTAACCAACTCGATTGATTCAATTGAGCTGGTAGCATAAAGGATGATATCGATAGTAAAACATGACGGGAATAAGGCAAAGGAATTTCAATACCAGTACGATCTAACTGTATTTTACGCCAATGAGTTGTTCCTGGGTTTATATAGTGAATTTTAAAATTTGAAAATAAGAACGAAGTAAAGTTTTTAGAGCTCACTTGCTACAAAATTCATTTAAACGAGAATAATGACGTTAAAACTAGAGTTTCAGAATTACTAATGAGTATTTTGACGTCAATTTCAAGCCATAGTTTGAATAATTAATATATTGATGGTGCTGACAGTAAAGAGAATCTATTACTCTCTTACCAAAATCAAATAACCATAAGTCGGTCATTATAACTCCGTAACTTTCACCACCAAGTATTGCCATTCCGTGACTCGTCTATAGTGTCGAGATAACAAGAATTTATCTTCTTATTCAACCACTAAATATTTCTGATATTTAATTGCCATCAAGAAATATGAATCCATTTGGGAATATGTTCGTTACCTTAACTGCAGAATGTTTACAGAGTGGTGGGGGCCCAGATTTCGATTTAATACGTCTCCACTGTTGTTGTACTTTAAATATGAACAGAGCTTCATTAAGAATATTTTATAATTCCAAACGCTTATTTTACTAATTTAAATGAAGCGGTAATGTGGCATATAATAAGAGTTATACTTATTAATCTACTATTATTAGTATATTTATAACCAAATAAATCAGAGCAGAATCGGATGATCATTCGATCATAAAATAGCGATAAATATATAGCCTATGCTGTATTTTGCAATCTATTCTAACTACTATTTACATTATCATTTCATAGAAATGACCGATTAAAATAGGCTCGAATCTACTATCAAAATCATTTTGATACCATTCTATTCGTAATTCTTGATACAAAATTTTAACTCTACAGTACAATGATATTAGAAATACTTACGAATATCCCATTTCCACAAGTCATTTGTAACATTTAAATCATTCAAGCCGCCAAATATCCAAAGTGCATTATCATGTACAACTGTAGAATGAGCGTAACGACCAAGTGGACTATTACTATCTTTGTAATCAAGCGGATAGACTAATTCCCAGGTATCTGATTCTGTGCGTAAAATACAGAAGTAAAATCCGCTTAAAATCAAATAATATAAAACGAATTTCCAGGAATAGCAAAGGGCATCACTATAAGATTAGGTGGGATTTAACTGATATTAACTCATTCAAGTAATTTATAGGCTTAATTAATTATTATTAATAATGGACTGAGTAAGCATTTCATGAAGATAAAATCAAAAACGTCCATTTATTCAAAATATACGATATAACATAAGTGAAAGCAGCAGATTGCAATAAACTTCATAAGAATCGAAAGATATACTTTCGGTAAGTCTTATGTTGTAATATTAAAGTTAAACAAGAAATTATTCATTCCGGATAGGCTGAATCGAAATATCTGTATAACTTATGAAATTACAATTGTAATTCAAGTATAATATCAACATAGGAACATTTAAAATATTTACCGAAAGCATATGACCAAAGCTCATTTGTAGAGCCTCTAAAATCAATATAGCCACCAAAAATGTACATAGCCCCATTTATAATAGATGCTGTATGATTTCGTCTAGTAGAAGGAATCTATTTCATTATATGATATGTAACCAAGATGAGTTAGTTTGAACTAGGGAATAATATAATACAATTAATGAAATTTATAATCAATAGGTCCAAAATTAAACTATAAACTAACCATGCTACCATCCGGTTCAAATGGAGACCATAAATTAAATTCTAATTTAGTCCATTTTAAATATCGAAAGAAATTAATAAAGAGTTTCAATTATTATATAATTTCAACATCATATGGCGATAATCTTCATTATTATATACCAAAGTTATAAATCCAAAATGAAGCTTCATCTTGATCACTAAATTGACCACCAAATAAATATAATTTGTTCTGTAATTCATCAGTAGAAAAGAATAACAATTTATTAGATTGGTTTTATTAGAATTAGTTTACATCTAATACAGTCATTGCTATTCTGCAAATCAGGAGAAGATAATATCGATAGCTTACTCTATAAACTACAGTCGTTTGCCCATGTCGAGATGATGGTGAATAATCGTTTCTAGGCTGGACATTTTCCCAATTTTCATTAACTAAAGGAAAAAACAACAATAAATGATAGCTGAAATCCATATTTTCAATTCTTATTCATAGCCTCAATGTCGATTCTCTAAATCCCTAAACCATCGTATAAAGTAATAGAAACTAAATTTCTAGCCCTAATATATGCTACGTACGAAACCATATCCTATAGATAGTAGAGAATGGCATTTATTCTTAGTAATAAACGCTATTGACTAATGTACAAATATTTTCATGAAGTGAACGAATGATATGAAGTACTATAGATACGACTTTATAGTATTACTGGTGGTATTTTATGGAAATGCATAACTCAAACTAATTTTTAATATTGCACCAATAGAATTACCTCCTTTTCCATTTTAAAAGATGAAGGCAAAAATAAACTTACATAAATTAAATTTCCAAAAATCTCTTAGAGTTGAATATTTTGTTCTTCCACCATAGACATAAATACAACCATTGTAATAACAAGCAGAATGTTGGCTGCGTAGTTCAGGCGATAGATCATATTGGCTGGCTTTATAAATCCAATAAGATCGAGGCACTATGGATTTATCTGTAAGCAGGAAAACGAATTTATTATTCTATATTACTATATATTTAATATATAAACTAAGTATTTTATGCTTCTAGATAGAGTGAACAGTGAATTTCGTATAAAATGAAATTATTTTTACCACGTCCACTAGCCATAAGTTAAGCTATCACATTCTATAGTCATGCTATATACGTGTATTACTTTTTTCCCAATATACTACCTGAAATAGTAACAACCTGACAGAACACTTTATAATATAATAACTTTTAGTGGTAAATTCGAAAGTAAGGTGCTAAATCAAAAACTAACTCAAATTAAAATTAGTTTAAAGAAGAATATGTACAATTATCGAAATTGTTTGAAGGCTTATTCCTTCGGATCTATATACAACAATCTGAAATCTATCCTAAGCGTAGAATACTTTTAAAGACATTCTATCATGCTATTTCATCTCCATATCGTAAAGAGTATTTATATAATACTATGATGTCATAGCCAACTCGGAGCAAGAAGATTACTAGATGAAATTTAAACTGTAAAATAATAACCCTGGGAAAGCTAACAAGCTTGAATACCCATTGTTAACAGATACAGTCGATAACTTACTTGTTTCACTAATAAGTTTTTGATCTTCTGGTCTGTTTTGATGTATCCAGTTTTGTTTTTTAAGAGGGGGTAAACTAAATTTACATGGAAACAATCAAGATCAACTTTGATGTTAAAATTGAGGAAACAGTTTCTTCTCTTGTATAAACTTCGACATACCCATTTCTTCCAAATTGCCAGCTGGTATTATTATTTGCGGTTGTTGACTGATTTCATTTATTAGGTAAGATATAGAAGAAATAGATTGGAAAACTATAGAAAAATCGATTGTAATCATATAAAGATAAATTTTTAATAATTTACTTGGTGATTAAAAACCACGTCTGGTAATCGATTAAATACACACTCCATGAGGTAAGGATTGGCATCAATCCATCGTGAAAATTCCATAAAAGAAAGCTTTCCAGTCTATTAAGCATTCCATTGCGATACATACAACGTACGTCATGAAACATTTTAAATTGTCTTTGCAACTGTTCTACATGAACATTTACATAAGTTACCAGTAACTAACAAACGATATGTAACTTTATTGGAGGCAATTTTAATGGTACTAATCACTAATTACATTGTTTGCTTTTATCTAGTTTAATTATAAACTTGAGCAAAATTAAGCTTATATCGATTAATTTTTGTTATTATTCTATACAGAGAATCGAAGAAGGCTTACATGATTCTTGTGGTATGTATGGTATGCATCCCTCATTATATCTTCAATATTCAGATTCAAGTTGGGATCTGACACATTAAAATTACAAAAAGGAAACCTTAATTAATTTACAGTTAGTTTTTCTGTATTCCAAATTAATTTATCGCGTTATAAAGAATAATGTAAATTGGTAAGTCTTTAACTTTTACCTTTGCCATGAAGAATTACTGATTTAAGGACTGTTAGCATATCCGATTCTATAATACCTTCACGACCTACATGATATGTATATAACACGTCAATTTATGAAACTCTTATGGTACTGTCTTAATATTAAGTAAATTACACTAAAGTAATTGCTAGATCCAATACGTTAGATGAATACTCAGATATACACTGTTATTTTATAATGAACATAGAGCTTAAAAATTCTTCCTGCAATTTATCTACTTTGTATTTATTTGTATCGTACAAATAAGATTGATTACCTGATAAATTATACTAGAAACCATATTAGTATAACATCATAACAAAATTGCCAGTTCAATCATCAAGTGCCATGTCATTGAAAAATACAAATTAGAAAGTTTATGATTCTATTTATTGTTAGTAATTTCATCTTTATTTAAATAGATGTCTATAAAATTTACTAATAGCAACAGCTACGGAAAGAGCTTACCATTCTATATAGTATTTTTTGCTTTTCTCGTTTGGTTGCATATATACAAGTAGCTAATCCATCTGTAGCAAAAGTATCCAAGATTAGATGTTATTTTATATGGCAAACTTTGTATAGGAGTACTCTCCGTGGTAGAGTAGAGAAGCATGCATGAAAACAGTTATGCAGTGATAATACTAAATTCAATTGCGGATTATAATATGATTTAATTTTCATTACTGCAATTGTAAATTAAATGTAAATCAGAGTAAGATAACATTAAATTTTTATGGTATGAAAGTTTACTACACTTGTTAATGTATAAACTTAAAACATGTATCGATATAAATTAGAATTAGATATTCTATAGATGCTGTTGCGTAAAAAACTGTGACATATGTTGTTCATCCAATTATCCACATACAGTATAAGAGAATATTAAGTGAGAAACAGAACTAGATTTTATAATTTAGAAATTTGTAAGTTTATATTATCAAAAATTGATCAAAGCTCTATAAACTTTCTAAATATCGATATTGAATAATGTACTATCGACATGTTAGAGCTGCAACAGTACTTTTATGACATTAATTTCATCTAAAATCAGGCCTTCTAGCAAGATTATATTTCTAATCATTTCAAGTCAATCAAGTACGTAATCCTACCTATAAATTCTTCCTGACTCAATCGGTTATCTTTGTCAGTATCTAATATTGCAAACAGTCTACGCGATAGGATTCCTTGCAAGTGGAAACATTGAATGCTGCAAAATGGCATAATTCATGTTAAGATAAAATAGCTTATAGAATTCGAGTAAGTCCAGTTTACTTTAAGCAAGCATTTAAATATCGTGATAATTAGTTTTAGCCATTTCTTTTGCATTTATGTAATTAAAAAAGTGGTTAATGACATTACATATAGCATTAGCATAGTAGAGATATCTGTTAGTTACAAGATGTAAGAGCTTTGGTTAATTTAAGCCTAATTCTAAAGCAGTCTCATAGTTATACTCGTATGATCAGCGCATCGGAAAGTTAATGTAGATTGCTATCACAGAATGAAAGTAGAATAGCTTGGATCTGGAGCAAGAAAATGCTGAGATCATATAAAAGTGATGTAGATTATACTGAATTAATTTCTAACATATTTATTGGCGATCTGCATTACTCGTATATGGGAAAGCTTATGTACTATAGCAATAAAGCGAAGAACCTTGGTTCAACTGTTAAAGTTAAGATACTATATTTAATTAAAGCGCACATAAAATTAATATTCTGCGGAGAAATAATTATTTAAAGGAAGTAATAGCTGCCTAAAAACTTTACCCGCAGAAAGAAATTGTAGTTAGGTATTCTCTATCGTAGAATTTATCACAATCTTAAACTTACAATGATCTCATATCCACCGAGCCTGACGTTGATGACAGCTTGGAAAGAGAGTTGAATACTTGGACGAAAGGAATCATTTCATCTTCTTTTACTATAAAGGTTCAAGAAAGCGGAATTGATATCATTAAGAGGTTGAAAGTATTATTTATACTCTGATAGAAAATATGATACTATCATTATATCGCTTATAAGCAGATTCGACTGAAATCATGATCTCTTTATCTTGTTTTATAACTATCCATATCACGAAAGAAATTAATAGTAACCATGAGAACTAATATTATTTAAAGATGGAAAATTTTATTCATACTTTCCTAGAAATTATGATACTTTTGATATTTGGTTTATGAGGAGATTTAAGAAATAATAATCAATCTCTTTATCCTATTTTTATAACTATCGGGGAAGAAATGGATGATAGCCACATGAATTAATATTATTTAGAGATGGAAAATGTTGCTCATACTGTAATAGAAATTATGATGCCTTTGATATTTGGTTTATAGGCAGATTTAAAGAATAATAATCATTCTCTTTATCCTCTTTTATAACCATCACTATCACAGAAGAAATGGATGATAGCCACAAGAATTAATATTATTTAGAGATGGAAAGTTTTATTCATACTCTGCTAGAGACCATGAAACTGCTGATATCTCGCCTATGGCGATAGTTAATGGTTAAAAAGCGATCTGTATCTATCTCCTACTGTATAACTATTCCGATCACAAGAAAAAGCGATAGTAGCCATAAGAGCGATGAAATTATCAAGAGATGAAAGTGTCATATATCTGAATCTTAGACTTGGTTAATGTTAGTATATGATAGAAATCATGATACTTCAGTCATCTCGTTTATAGATAGATTTAAGAGATCAAAATCAATCTGCATATCGTATTTTATAACTATCGCAAACATAGAAGAAATTGATGTTAGCTATAGAAATAATTAGTTTTGAGTATATTCAACAGCCCAGAATATCCAGTAAACATAAACAAAATAAAATGATGGCCAAAAATATAAAGACGATATTAGCTATAGTCAGAAATGAATAGGCGTAGACTTTAATGACATCATTCAATAAGAAATGATTATTTACAGTACTTGTACTTTTATGCTTTAGGCAATAGAACTGATATTCAATAGAGCAAATAAAGGATTTATTATACTTGCATGCCACTAGTAATATCCAAGAAGATAAATACTAACAATAGTATCGTTGCATTTACCGATTAATGGAGACAACTAAATATAACAAAGACTATTCTGATCGAAACGGAATACATGTTTAGGTAAGCAAGTTTTGAGATCGTTATAGTAGGCAAAGGATAACTGCTGAATAGTATCGCTGCATTTACAGATTCATGGAGAGAACTAAATATAATAAAGATTACTCTAATCGAAATGCAATACTTGTTTAGGTAAGCAAGCCTTGAGATGGTTACAGTAGGTAAAGGATAACTGCTGAATAGTATCACTACATTTATAGATTCATGGAGAGAACTAAATATAACAAAGATTACTCTGATCGAAATGCAATACTTGTTTAGGTAAGCAAGTCTTGAGATGGTTACAGTAGGCAAAGGATAACTGCTGAATAGTATCGTTGCATTTATAGATTAATATATTAATGGCGAGAAATAAGCACAATAAAGACCATTCTGTTCCAAACGGAATACTTAATTTAGGTAGGCAAGTACTGAGATGGCAAGTAAAGGATAACGACTGATACTAGTGAAGTGATCGTTCTTTGAGAATATTGCTTAACGTTTAGCTGGAGAAGCTAGATGATGACGATAAAACGGTAAAATATAGTTTGTTATTAGTATGTCTTTCCAATTTGACGATAGAAATTAACTTTGTAGGACATTTTCATAACAGTCTAAAACAAATATTTTTAAGGACGTTTGGGCTTTTTCAATTAGCCGATAGACAGTGCCCGAGCTTTATAACAGTCTAGGAGAAAAGCATTTCAATTATGTCTAATCTTTCTAATAAGAGATCATAACATTATCGGAGTTTTAGAACAGCCTTTGAGCAATCAAGAGATACTTTTGAACAGTGCTGCGATTCACTGGAAATAGGAAAATCGATGAGTTCTATTAGATTCTCTGTGATTTTCTCCCATAAATGGATCAATACGTACTGTGTAGGAAATAACAAAAGAGGCCAAGAAAGTAAACTAGAACTAGTAAAACCCCCAAGTACTAATGATTATATAGAAATAGAGAAGGATTTTAAACTATGTTTTGCCTTTCCAGTCTGCCAATAATTTATAAAGATGTGAGAATGGGAATTTGACAGCATTGATGGTTACAAATGGTAGAATGGCTAAAAGTTCTGATCCTAAAAAAGAATGGAGTAGATGCATCAAATTGTGCTGTAGTTGATCTTCTCGAACGTTTACCCAATCAAGCAATCAACAGGAGCTACAGGAGTGAACGAATACTTACGACTAGAAATGGCAAAAGAGTTGCAAATTCTCATAGCCAAAATGTCTTTTCTAATCGAGCAATATGTATGACATGTAACTGGCTTGATTAAGTTAAAGTTGTACACAGTCTTTAGTCCATTTTAAAGGTTTCAAATTGAATATAGAATAGCAACATGGGGAAATTTGAATCGCCAATGATCTAATTTGTAAATAGATAAGAGTCGGGTAGTAACTCAAGAGAAATGATGCTATAATTTTATTACAGTTTTCAATTGTAGGCATGGCAAAACGAATGAAGTGTCCTTAATTCATTTGATTTTCTTCCGTTAATCGATAAGTAAAAATTATTGCAGCAAGGTGAGAAATTTCAGTCACTGTTTTCCAGAAATCGGAATAATTACCAGTGATAAATTGCTGTAGATGCAAGATTCTCTTATTTGAACTACCAATATTGTTAGTCTTGAGTATTTATGTGTAGTATGTGAGTAATAAAAGGTAGGAATTTGAATGATTGGAAATAGTCGAATAAAATTAGTCGTAATTCATTTTTTACTGGCTAGAAATTGAAATGTAAATGATTAACCTAGGGGAATTGTAACCACCTTTAGTCATTTATATTTAGGGGATTACTTTCAATGTAGACTATCAGAAAAACTCACCAACTAGAAATAGTAGGGTACAGGGATGATAGAACTAAATTTAATCTTTCTGCTCAAGTAATCAACTGTAAACCTACAAAAGAGAAATTTTGATGATGACAGATATCAGAAATTCACTTGGTAAAGCCGTTTTCGAACGATTAAGGTATGAAATAGAAGTGGACAGAAATGTGAAAATCTTGACAGCCAGGAAAGATGAAATGATTCAACCTAACCATGACTAATTTTTACGAAAATCTTGATAATTATGGATGATAAAATGGCTCAATTTAGCCATAGTTTGGCTTCACAAATTGGAAAAGTTATAGTATTAAATTCTCGTTTCTCGCTAGTAAAAGCTAGCCGATAAATTGATCTTGAACAAGCCTTGAAATAAATTAAGATTCAGTCATGCTTAGCAATTGCAATATCGCGTGTAAAATTGCCAATAATCAGTGACTGCAAGAAATAAACTCCTATCTAGTCTAGAAATCTCATTAGCAAATGATTGATAGCTAACAGATTGACTTTGAGTAAAAATAAATTGAATTAAGATTCAATCATTTTATGGTTTACTTTAATTTGTAAACTCCCTACAATCAGGTACTAAATAGAATTGAAGGGCAATCCAGTCTAAAAATCTCATGATTAAAATGTTCCATTGACTTTAATAAAACAATAAGCTGAATTTCCAGTCATATTTTAGCTTTATTAAATTCAGTCGCAATTCCTCAGCGAATAGGGAACGAAGTAGAGCTAAAGTAAGGTAGAGTTTGAAAGCCTTGATACGAGTAGTTAAAAATGATTCATGGATTAATTGTAAACTACTGACGAAATGAGTTAATATCTAGTTATTAAGTTATTATTATTATTAACATCTAGTTATGTTTCGTTTCCACGAATTTTCTGTAAATTCTTAGCAAGCAGTCAATGAAACAAGTCTAGACGACAACACTGTCAGAAAATTGTTCAAGTGATCCATAGATTAGCTTTAAATGACTGATGAAACGAATCCATATTCATCTATATTTAACCTTAGCCAATTATTTACAAATTCTTAGTGAGCAGTGAGCGAAAATAGGCTAAACCACAGTATTCTCCGCAAATCTGGATATTTGAAAATGAGCTATAGTTTGGTTTTTAACGAATGACACAATAAATTAAAATTTATTTGGGTTTAGATTTCGTAAACTGGATTGTAAATTCTTTCAACAGACAACGATCAAAAAGACTTTACTGTATATAGGCTGAGAATCTTGCAAACAGAAGATAATATTGGCTTTAAGTTAACGACGGAATAAGTTTAAAACGAAATCCTCTCTGCTTTCACCAATTAGTTTAGAAGTACTCGATGAGTATTGATGGAAAATGCTCGACTCATCATCATGATCAAGTCTCTATCTATTAGTTATTAGACTGCGATGGAAATCGACTAGACTAAGACGTAGTCAAAAAATCTCAGTAGTTTAAGAAAGCTAATGGACGGTGTTGAGACATGTTTCACTTAACTCATCTTAAGTAACGGTTATGGCATTACTTGTTCGATTTAATAGGCAAAAAGAAAGTTAGGAATACTAGTTTACTTTTAAAGAACTCAACCTTGCCAGCAGAAGACCTTAATCTCCCGCTCTGAATTGAGTTGAGAATTGTAGTTAAAACCTTTCGATTGAATTGGAGAGTCGGATAGGAGTCCTATTATATGGATCTCTCTATGATAACTTTAGATGGACTAGTTGGGTCAGTAAATAAAGATTAAGGAAATGATAGAGGAAAAGTAACAATTTACTTTAAGAGAAATAAACACCGAGAGAAACGATTATTTTTTCCCTATTATCTCGGCTTAATTTTCATGTGAATCAAGATTTGCCACGATTTTCTTTTTCGCATTCACGTTGAATATTAGTTTTAGCATCATCGATTCAAACAGAATGAAAATAGATTTAAAATAGAAATGAAAACGATAGTAGGGATACGTTCAGTGGTATCAAGTTAATTCTATCCATGG